ACAGTGACGTGAGTAAAGTATTATTTAGATACAGATTTCCTAATGTTGTTTCAACATTGTCGATTTTCTGTGGGCTACATCTTATAAAGCCACATAATCTGGCTTCTGCCGTGGTCTGACATTCTTCAAAAGGAAAATAATTAAAAGTTCACACACGCCTTCTGTGCTTGTAATGCTGAGATGATGTTTTCAACATGTTTTATGAACAAAGGGTTTTTCTAAAAGCCTTCATTGCGTAACTGTTGATATGACTTTGTTTTGTGAAATATCTGCATTAAGAGATATGAAAACACGTAATGTTGAAAGCAGAGAGCTTAAAAGTCTAAAATAAACTTTTTGTCCAGTCGGCCTTGAGTTTGCATTTTTTCCCTGTGTCTGGGTGTGTTGCACCAGCTGCTGTAAAATATGGATAATCTGTTCATAGTTTACAATAGAGCTATAGAATTAGACTTTCGTCTTTTCATCTCAGGCCTGGGCTTTATTTGTTGGTCGGTCTTCAACAGGAAACAGGTCCTTGGGTTCTCCCAAGGATAGTGAACGATCAAGGATTGTAAGGTCACTCAGTACGGCAGATCTGGGGCCCACCCTGTAGTGCGGGGCTCACCACCCTCACCATGGAGGGATCCATGGGGTTGGAGTAGAGAGAAATGTGCGGCAATTGAAGACAATCCAGCTCCAGGTAAATTGGAATAGAATTCTTGCTTCAAAAGTGTTATAAAAAATCCAAACAAATTTTCATATTTTTATCTCCTGACTCCTGCCCGTAGTAAAAGAAAACTCCTTAATCATGTTAATCATGTTTGGATCAGAGTCGTTGGCAGCTTGTTATCACTAAAATCCCCTTTAATGTCTTATTGCATTTTCGTCTGCCACTTAATCTCGTCAAGATCTGAGAGTTTCCCCCAAAGCCATTCAAACACTTCCCTTTGTTCGTCCGCCAGCCCCCAGTGTTGAAAGCCATACTCAAAGTGCTCTCTGTGTAAACCTCATCAATATTATCCTCAATATCGATCTGTAATCAGTTTGCCGTCCACGACCTCCTCTGACCCTGCAGCTCTCACTGTGAAGAAACATGATTGAATCTGCGCTGAGTTGGATTTCAGCCTTTTGTAAACGACAATAGTTCCAGGGCACACAATCGCACACAATGGAGATAAGTGCAGTGATAGGAAACCAGGTCATCGCTTTCTGCGTCTGCTCCTCACTTTACACTTTGTTTTTACAGTCTGTTTTGTTTTTCATAGAACCTTTGTTTGTGATATTGTGTTACTATAGAGCAGCGGGCAAAGTAAGAGCATAGGCGGCACTTTTTATCGCAACAAATGCAACAAATATCAGTATTAGGCAAAGATTTCAGGCACAAATTTCAGTTAATAATTTGAGACAGGCTTCTACTCTGACAATGTTCAAATCCAGGTTAAAAACAGTCCTCGTATGATTTTTTTTCCTGTCTTGTCTTGTTAAAGCACTTTGAGTAGCTTTCTGTATGAACAGTGCAATACAAATACATTTTCCTTACCCATGTGTTTAAACCTAAAATATAGAAAGTTCACAAGAATAAAATTCCCATGAACACAACGAATTACACGTATTTGAAAAGGTGTTTTTTTCACACCACAGATTTCACCACAGAAGTCGTGGGTTCGAGCCCACCACAACACCTTCTCCCCCAACTCCCTCTAATGTCTGCTGTCGTTGTGTCCTTGGTAAGACACTTCACCTCTGGGAACAACAGGTGCCACAGTGGGGCGGCTGTAAAGTGCCAAACTGCCGTTGTGTCCAAAGGCAAGGCACTTAACCCACATTGCCTAGAATCAGTCTGCGGTGCCCCAGGGCAGCTGTGGCTACAGTAGTAGTTTATCACCACTGTGTGCAGTGAAAGAATAATGACCTGTGAAGCGTCTTTGAGTGTCCAAAAAGTGTCCAAAAATAAAACCGATGCATTAGATTTCAGATCAGTTTTGAGCATGTCAGAAAAGTGGACTTCCCCAGGAAACTATGTAAAGGTCATAAAAGCGGTCCAACATTGCATTAAAAAAATATTAAGATGGCGCTAAAATCCTGGGTTCGATTCTTGAGCCAGACAAGTTTACATGTTCTCCCCGTGTCTGCGTGGGTTCCCTCCAGGCGCTCCAGTTTCCCCACCACTAAAAACATGAACAAATATGGCATGCCATACTGTGTGTGGAGTGAATGGAAATTACACAAAATTGTAAAAATGCTTGAAATGTGTGACCTTGTGTGTTTTATAAATAAAGATTACTGTGATAGTAGATGACCATGAAACCTTTTCCCAGTGGTTTGACTGTTGTGCATTTTAGCGAGCACAGTAGGATTGTTTTGGGCTGTACTCACCACAGACTCTTAACTATGTAGTGATCTGGTTTTTTTGCCTTTTAGGGAAAACCCAGAGAAATGTTGGTCTCATGTTGTGCCCTGTTTCTAGCTGCCCACACTGTAATGTCGTCTTGTCAGCGTCAGAGCAAGGTTGAACCAGGCTTTCAGGGTGAAGTAACCAAGCAAAAATCTACCGGAGCTGCTCACTGTCCACATATCACGCCTTGTTTCTGGTATACAGCAATAAAAACGGAGACCAAGGTTTTTGTCTGGTTTTAAAACTCAATTTGTATCGAAAACTAACACTATAGATGTGATATCCCCAAACCTTTCAGTCAGAGGGCCATTTTTGTCCCTTTTTTTTTTTTTGCATGGCACTGTAAAGATGGCGCCGTGGCAAGAGCTCTGGTGTGTGCCGTCTTCTCTGTCTTGTACACACTAGGGGTAGTCTTGCACGTTTTTCTAATGTGGTTTTACTGCAAATGGCAAATATATTCTTGTATCTTTTAAAGGGCCAACAACATGAATTATAAAACCTTTTTTGACTGGATTCGGGCTGTTCTGGACTTTATAATGGAGAAAGATTAATCCAATAAGATTCACACCAGAGCTACATTAGTGCCATGTATGAAATTGCGCGACCCAGTCAAATACAAATGTCAGTACACAGGTGACAATAGCAACATACTGAATATTTGTGCATGTGGTAAGGCAAGTTTGTATGTATAGCACAGTTCATACCCAAGGCAACATAAAGTGCTTGACAAAACAATAGAAACAATCACACAACTGTCCATTAAAAATGAGCAAAGTCAAAATCCCTCAGTTGTATAAACAGAACGGTACAGTCAGTCAGCTGTAAATATGTTTAGCTCAGAAAGAAAGTAATAAGATTTTGAGGGGAAAAGAAATTGCTACGGGAAATGGAGGTTAAACGTTACTGGGTCAGAAATCCCATTAGTTTTTGCTGAATGTTGTTTGTAGAAATGGCTGCAGCACTTTTCTCTGTTTGTCTCTCTGTCAAACAACCAACATCTGTGTCTTAATGTGACGACCAGATGTTGCAGAAATCCTCAGCTCATGGAAAGATTTATATTCATAGTGGAAACTACGATACTCAAAAGTAAGTTATTCAAAGTTTACACACCCAGGAAAACATTTTGACTTAATGCTAATAATAAATAGCCTTTTATGACTTGTTTGCACCATGAGCTGAAGCAAATTCCTCCTTTGTGACTTCCTGTTACTTATAATGGAAATAAAAAGGATTCTGATTTCACTGTCGAATAAACATATTTTCTATGTTGAAATGATAATGAGATTAGAAACTCCTCTTGTAACTCAGTCAGAAGAGACAGCGTGTGTTTCCCCTTTAACATCTCTGACAGCTTTTGTGGTAGTTGTGAATGAGGTTCTTTCTTCTCTCTGGTGGTAAAGCTGCACATTCTTCTTGGCATAAAGCATCCAGTTCATGTAAATTCCTGGACCGCATGGCATGAACGGCACATTGGAGATCTGCTCAAGGATGTTACAGTTTGAAAATGGAAAATATAATGCACGACAATACATGGCTTCACACAACCACTAATGATGAGCGAGGGGAAAAATATCCACAAAACAATGACATTTCTGGCTGCGCATGTAAACTTTCAAGCACAACTGCATATTATTGTGTGCAGAAGACAAATTACAGAAGCAATTTTTCTCTATTGTCCCACAGTGGGTTCTTCTGTATGTAATGTGTGTTGATCATTGTCCGCTGTAAAACCATATCAAAAATGGATTTCATATGTTCCAAGTATTTTAAAATGGTGGTTATTGTTTGGTGTCTGGAAAACAAATCTTTCTGATGATTTAGCTGTCCTTTCCATATCAGTGGTGTCGTACAGTTGGTATTGCTTCTGATTTTTGCATGAGCTCCCTAGTAACATTGAAAATTCTAGTTGAAGTAGGTGCAGTGTGGATCATCAGTTCATTTGACCTCACTTTATAACTACATTTGAGTGCGTCTAGTTCAGGGCCATCCACCCGCCTTCGTCCTACATGAATGATATGAAAACATGAAAAACAATTGACAACAAGAACAAAAACAAACCACAAAACATTAATACAAATCCATCTAACAACCACACTCTCAAAACAGGGTTAGGGTTTTTTTCACAAATGTAAACATGCATGTATTTTTGTTACATCTTTAGATAGAACAGAAGCGTGACAAGATTGCAGGATGTGGTCAAAACTTGTTAACCTAATTGTTGGAAGATCTGGCTTTTATTGTATCATCTACTAGCTCTGACTACTTTAAAACCCCTTCCTCTTTTTACACATAAACTTGTCCTACATTCACGATGATTCATTTAGTTAACATTTCCCTATAAGCTTTGCGTATTGTTTCTTGCATGTTTTGCATATGTTGCCTGGTGATACTCAAACCGGGCCGGCGTGGCTGTGGCTGTGACTGACTGTGGGCAAGAGGGAGGGGTCCATGCAACGCACACTGGGGCTCCTCTGAAGTGGGCTGGTCCTAAAACTCTCTATAAGTTCCTGCAGTTTCCGCCCTGTTGCTTCTCTCTCTGCTGTGACACACGGCCACACTGCTCACCAGCTGCCAGCTTCTATCACATCACATTTGTGCATTTTAGTTTTGCAAGAATCGCACCAACATGACAAGCTACAGGTCTTCCTCCATTGGTTTCTCCCGCTCCGGGCCGCAGTACAGGGCGTCCAGCATCTATGGAGGGGCCGGGGGTACGGGCAGTCGTGTGTCCTCAGCCTCAGTCTCTTCTCTGCGCTCCGGAGCCCCCATGATCTCTGCAAAATCCAGCTACAAAGTGAGCAGTGGCATGGGTGGAGGTAAGTCACATGAACTGCATATTTTTGCAAGCTTTTTGTTCTGGGGGCAGATAATGACTGAATGAGCTGCTGCTATTTTTGATGCCTCACGTTATTATTGTACGGATCTATTTGAGCTTTTAAATGGAAGCACGCTTTCTATTTCACTGCAAAAGGTGATGAAAAATAAGTTTAAAAATTACTCAAATCTTGCTTAATGAATTTTGCACATTTTTGACTGCCATAAAACAATATTTTCCAATGAGACAAGCAAAATTATCTTTGTCCCATTGGCAAATCTTGTTTTACAACAGTCAGAGTTATGTCAAATTAAGATAAAAACACTTGATTTGAGCAATTTTTACCTTTTTTTAAAAATCATTTTTTGCAGTGCCCCCTACAAACATTTATATTTACAGTTATTTCATTGATACTAGGGTCTTAAAAAGTCGAGTGAAGTTTCAGAGCTCCAGCTTTTGACTATGTCTGAAAAACTCCTAAAGCAGTGTTTTTCAACCAGTGTTAATGTGCCTGGAGATGTTGTTTGGTGTGTCTTTGGAAATGATCCAATATCACCTGATTGACCAAAACTACCAAGTAAAGACATTTTATTTTCTGTTTAATACACTTTGAGAAAGGCTCTATTTTGTTAATAAATTGATTTGTCCACTCAACTCTCTTATCTAGTTTGTACTAAATTATGCAAAAATCTGGTAACTCATAAGTAGTTATGAAAAAAAAAAACATGTAACTTCTTTGTTCTCAAAACCGTTTAGTTCGATCACTAATTTTCACGTGTAAGTGTTTTTGGCCTCTGTCACATCTCTAAATCCAATTTTTCAGAGATCAGTAAAAAAGAGAGTTCCACACTCACTCAGCCAATCAGCTGTCAAGCAGCTCTCAGCCCAAAGTGTCAAAAAGTGACTCGTAGGGCTATGTATGCAAAATATAACGTTTCCAAAAAGTTGAAGTTGGCCTATTTTGGTCTGATTTGTTTTAAAAAATGTACTTTGACAAAGCTCCTTCTGTTAGGACAAACAATGCCCCAATGTGTTAATCATGAAACAAAAACGTTAGGGTTAGGGTTCCCCCAACTTTAATTCATTAATATTGGCTCAAAAATATCAGCAGGGCTTATTGGTGATGATCCAGGACACTAGGCGTTCAACAATATTTATGGACCTGATCTGCCTTGGCGAGTTCAACGGTTTTGTAAAGTCCTCCGAGATATCTACTGTTGAGATTTAGGGCTATACTCAAATAAATTGAATTGATTTTCTGACGTGTGGTTCTGTTTGCTTTTCCCCATCCAGGTCTCGGTGGGGGCATGGGCATGGGCATGGGGTCCGGGGGTGTGGCAGTGTCTGGAAGCGGAGGCCACATCATGAATAACGAGAAGGGAGCCATGCAGAACCTGAACGACCGTTTGGCCAACTACCTGGAAACTGTGCGGAACCTGGAGCAAGCCAACAAAGAGCTGGAGATCCAGATCCGCCAGGCTCTGGAGAAGGGCGGTCCGGACCTGAGGGACTACAGCAAGTACGAGCCAATCATCGAAGACCTGCGCCAACAGGTGAGTGGGTATAGTGGACAGCTGCGCTATTGTCACTGTGGTCTTAGTGTTGACAATGACACAAGGAAAAAATTGCCCTTAGCTAGGGATGTGGTACCTAAGTTTTAAATCGAAAAAATAGAACCATACTATGTTCCTTGCTCTAAAAACAGTTTGATCTTATCACTATAGTTTTCACATGCATGTATTTTTGACCCCTGTCACGTCTTTAGATCAGCTTTTTCAGATGGAGAGAGGACCTGCCTCACTCAGCCTATCAGCTCTCAGCCCAAAGCGTCAATCAGTGACTCACAGGGCTCACAGGTCTCTTTCTCACATGTTTGCAAAAAATATACCCTTCTAACATGAAGACAGTATATCAAAAATATAAGACTTTAAAGGACAGCATGTTTTATTTATGAAAAACATATAGGTACCTGAGCTTTTACTGCCTACGGTTCAGAAATACATGTTTTTTTTTTTGTCTTTAGATGTTCTGTTTTAAAGATATAATCACTAATTTTGCAAATGACTTTATTTTGTCCAATTCATTATGATGACAGATAGAATGCACACATTTGACTTGACATCGCAAACCAAACATTTTACTATAAATGTAATATATTCTACAATTAGACACATGGAGACAAGTAGATGGCCAGTGCTCCACAAGGAAAGAATCTTTACAATCAACGTCTTAAAATCATTTATACTACCATCAACTTCTCTACACACTGTAAGTAAAAGTGTTAAAATATCCAATACATGTTTAAAGCCACTTAATAGTATAATGTGTATAAAATGTACAGAATGCCACACAACTTAGGTAACAATACTTTAAAATGCCTGTTTTTGTTAAACTTCAGGAGAATGAAGGGCGCGGCTCTCACTGTAATGAGCCATCTGTGCCAGAGTCAGCACTTCCTCTGAATCACAGACTGAAAGGCCACCACAAAAGACGAGCTTCTTTTACAACCACAAACTCCCAGAGACCAGAGAATGATTGTTGTATATTAAGACTGATACTGGCTGAAAGATCGGGTACCTTACTCCCCCCCCCATCAATAATGCATTTACCCCAGCAGATAAACATGCATGTGAAAACTAGCAAACTGTTTTGAGATTGAGGAACTAGTTTCATGGTTTGTTTTATGTAGGTTCCTTTTGTTGTTGTTTGAAAGTTAGGTAGCCTAGCTTTAAGGGCGAGGCATAAGTGGGTGGGGGGTGGGGGGCATGTGACCACTCAACCCTCAAACAGTGGACAATAGGATTACTCAAATATGTGTGACTCAATCAAATACATCTCAACGTAATGATAATAGAACAGAGTTGTCATATGCTTTAGGGATTGAATAATAAATTATGCTTAAGTCTGCTTCTAATATTTATTGTACTATAATGTAATGTATGTAATAGAATTGTAAAAAGTAAGATTTTTATTTATAATGCACATTACAGGCAATCATTTTGACAATCATAGTAGTAGCATGTCTGTATTATATGGCAGCAGTAGTAGTTATGGTAGCATCTGTATGGTGGCTGTAATTTAAGCAACAAGATTTAACCAGTTTAACCTAAATGCCTTATCTTACGCTCAAATACTATTTGAGTGTCTTGAAATAGAGATACATTTACTTCATATTCGTATGAAAACTCCACGTCAGCGCTTCTTGAATGTGAGAATAAGGAGAGAGAAGAATGACCCCAATGGGAAGCAGATGTCCTGGTGTTATGTCTCTATACGTGTCTCTATACGATCGCTCCAAGATCTTTGGAAACACAATCGGAAGTCTAAACCAATATTATGTAATTGTATTATGCAAAAGAAAGAAATGGGAGTTCTGTTTTGAGAAATGTTGTAGCTGTGGCGGTTTTGATGAAGCGTGGAGACAATGGTAGTTCTATAAAATGTAACGTGGAAATACACTATTTTGAACTAAGGTTTTGAATTTCTACTTTTCTGGGCACATTCACACATGTTGGTCTGTTCACTTTAACTGGACACAATACACATGCATGCGCACACACACGCACACACACCGAGAGACACACTCACTCAGACAGAATACAGGCTAAAACACTCTCTAACCCTACACTTCTTACATGTATACTTTTTTTTCTTTTTTTCACTAAATAATCAACATGTTTATAACCCAAGTGAACCAGACCCGCTACAGTTAAAGGGAACCAGACTCGGATCAGTTTAATTGAACCGGACTAACAAGCCACCACCCAGCGACGGGCTGGCACACGAATGTCTGAATGTAACTGGACAACACTAAAGAATCTGGAGACATGGAGGAGGAGAGTGGGGCCAATGTGAAGCAGATGTGAACACCAAAGCGTGTGAGAGCACCCATACGAGCTAACAGGGAGAAGAGCTAACAGAGAGAATGGAGAGAAGAGCTAACAGAGAGAATAGAGAGAAGAGCTAACAGAGACATTAGCTAACAGAGAGAAGAGCTAACAGAGAGAGGGGCTCACATTGAGGTTGTGGTGTGTGAAGATTGACAAAAGATTTTCTGTGCACAAAAAGTCACATTCTTCAGAGACACCACTCAGAGTTATGGAGGCGGCAGACAGCAGGGGGCAGCGTAGTAGTTAAAGCTGAAGTGCCAAACTTTGAAACCCCCAAAACATAACAATGTAATAAAATCCATGTCACTAGTTCCTTGCTCTCAAAATAGTTTGGTTCTCTCAATAGTTTTCACATGCATGTTGCATTTTAAAGGAAAAAGATCCTATCATGAAAACTCTGTCTATTACTTTTTTTGGTGTTTGGTTTTGCATAAAAATTCTATCATGTATAATGTCTGTTAAATCTATGATTGTTTCGTGTTTATAAGCTTGATATGAAATTCAATCGATCAATCATCTGTTAAATGTCCTCATCAGAGATGGCCGCAGCATGGGTCTGATAGGTCTAGGATTGAGAACTGCTTAGCCTGTACATGTCATCTCATCTGTGAATAGTAAAAACTGCAATCATGTGCAATACGGCGATATCAGACTGTCCATTGAACTTCACTTCTACCCATATTGGGCGTATATAATACATGAGCTATAGTAATTCTGAACTCATTCATACTTTCCAAAAACCCGTGCCACACAGACACTGCTGACTAATTTATGGCTCAGCTGCTGCAGAGGAAACACATTTCTCTGGTCTAAATGGAACCAGGTTTTGCCTCATTCTCTGTCGTCTGCTGTGCTCCTCCTCTGGGTGTTTGGCCAGTGATCTGAAACCGGACTCTTCTGTGTGTGGAGTTACACAAGGGCAGCGCTGATTCACATCATGTGCTCTGTATTCCACATCTGCTCAGATCCTGTCCAAATGATGGGGGAATTCCCGAAATGAATGCAGTTTGAAAGTGGAAAGTTATAGTTACATTATATTGCTGGATTAGAATGGAAATGCAGTTTCCAGACTGAACACAGCACATTCGTTTTTTTATTTTAAATATTTTAAATTTAAATTTATTCTTTAGAAGTGTTTTTTTATTCTTATTTTTATTATCTCTTTTTGACTGTTGCACTGAGCCAAAGCAATTTCCTAGTCTGTGACCTCCTGTTACTTACATGGCAATAAAAATGATTCTGATTCTGATTCTGATTCATTTGTTGATCTAACACTTCATTGCTTTCACTATGTGCTTGTTTTTTAATATTCTATATGTTCTTGCTGCTGCTCGAGTCCTGACTAGAACCAGGAAGTAGAATCCCATTAGTCCAGTTCTCAGGTCTCTGCACTGGCTTCCTGTGGCTCAGAGAATAGACTTTAAACAGCTCTGCTTGTTACAAGTCTCTCCATGGCCTCGAACAAAAGTACATCTTTGACATGTTAGTGCCATATGAACCAACTCGGACTCAGAGGAGAACAGGGACTCGCCTCCTGCTGGGACTCTGGGTTAGGACTAAATATGGGGCGGCAACGTCTCCGATTTATGCAACTAAAATCTGGGACAGTCTTCTTGAAAATGTGAGACAAATTCAGGTTAAAAACAGATCTATTGAGCTGTGCATACAAATGTATTTTTTACCTGCAAATGGCAAACATGTTGAAATGTGTTGGTGTTTTTTTTAAATGTTGGACACCACAGTCTATAAGTCATTTATCTAAAACATTTCCTTTGTTTTGTTTTCAGATTTTTGACCGAATCACAGAGAACGCGCGGTTAGTGCTGCAGATCGACAACGCTCGCCTGGCTGCAGATGACTTCAAAGTCAAGTGAGTGATTATACAATGGGATTAGGTTATGGGCAGATTGTTATGGGTTATGGATAGAGTTTAAACTGGACATAACTCTGCCTTGTTATCTGTGTGGCATAAAATGACTCATAGCTGTCTTTCAAACCATGAACAAAGGAACTGTAATAAAATCCAAACTATAGTTCCTCAATCTGAAAACGGGGTTGCTTCTATCACTAGTTTTCTCATGCATGTATGTTTTGGCCTCTGCCACATCTTTTTCAGACAGAAAAGTGAAATAGAGAGGACCACTGTCACTCAGCCAATCAGCTCTCAGCCCATGCATCAAATAACGACACGGCTATTTTTTACAAGATGTTTTCTAACAAGATGAGGACAGAATGTTGTTGTCTGATTAGTTCTCAACATTTTACTTTGACAAGACTCTTTCTGTTATGAAAAAGAGTAAAAGTATTCATGAAACAGAAAATCAACAGCTTTAATAATATTAATTTGTTTATTGACTTTGTGATAAAAACTACAGAACTGATTAGCCCCGCCTCCTTAAAACATTTAGTAGCAGTGAATTTTCTTTTATGGGGTTTTAACGTTGATTGGGGTCTTTTTTAATTAAAGTCACAAGTAAATACAAAGAAATGGGCGAGGATTGGTGGTAGGTGAAACAGCTGAGCTTCAAATGCAGGTGTACAAGTTGATTACTTAAACATGCAAGAATCAAAATGAAAAAGAAAGACAAGGGAACACGGTTATAACAAGGATACACATTCTGGAGAGTCAATACTGCACCGATAGTTAAGTATTTCAGTTAAATATTGGTATTTCTTTTCCAGGTACGACAATGAGCAGGCGATCCGTCAGTCAGTGGAGGCCGACATCGCTGGACTGAAGAAACTCATAGACGACACAAACATGAGCAGAATGAACATCGAGAATGAGATCGAGGCGGTGAAGGAGGAGCTGACCTTCCTCAAGAAGAACCACGAGAATGTGAGTCATGCAGACAAAAGGAAAAGAACGCGGTGTGTTTCAGTGATTGGGCTGCAGGCTGCTCCGATACAGCCTCACACACATCCTCAGTCTTGGCTTTTATCTTTCATGTAAAGGACTTTATACTCAGTCTCACAAAATGACTTTTCTTTCTCATTTAGTAGTAGTTTAATCTGTCTACGCCACTGGATCGATTGATAATTGCTGTGATAACATTATATGCAGATCCACAAATCTGCTTTTCAAATTTACTTTGTACATTTTTCTCCTTAACCTAATTTGAACTTTGTGTTTTAGTTGGCTAAGTAAGCTTAGGTACACCAGAAATAATGTTATATTTGTTCTTTTCATTTATATTTGGCATTAAAAACCAGTGTCATATAGTGACAAAAAAAAGGAAAAAATAGGTTCCAGGGACTTCTGGTTTGAAACAGACAATCACTGCAGTAGTGGAAAAAGATAGAGGACAACATATAAATGTATACAAAACATGCGGTAATTTGGTTACATTGGCCAATGAAGAGTATGAAAAGACTACTGCAGTGAATAGGAATGCTTATACATTATAAAGCCACTTTAAATATTATAAAATAAAATCACAACAAATTCATATTCTCTCTGTAATCTAAAGAGCAGTTAAACAGCTAACTAGCTAAAACCATTGCAGTTATAAGTAGAAATTACATGTATAATAAGTAGTAGTAGTTTATTCTGTATGCTACGACTGTCCATATTGTATCTTATATTTGTTTATTTGCGTATTTTTGTTAAAGATTCTTTGGTTTCCTTGTCTGAATTATTCTATAAATGTGGGTACAGGAGGTGATGGAACTGCGGAACCAGATCGCTCAGTCCGGAGTGCAGGTGGACGTGGACGCTCCTAAAGGACAGGACTTGTCTCAGATCATGGAGGACGTCAGGGACAAGTACGAGAAGATGGCTCTGAAGAACGCAGAGGACCTGAAGCGCTGGCACGAGAACCAGGTCAGGACACACACACACACACACACACACACACACACACATAAACACACGCACACAGGACCTGGTTTCACACACTTATAATATATCTGCAAAGGACATGATCGTCTTTTTAGAGCTTTTAACCTTGCTACAACATTCTTCCCTCAGCAAAAAAACATTCCTTGAGTTGTTTGTAGTTTCTTTTAGGCCACATTAGGAACGTCTGGCATAAAACAAATCCTCAGACTCTGACGTCAAGGACAGAGCTAAACTATGGTCTGTACAAACGCATGACTGTGTTCTTTTAATGACCAATACATCTGGAAAAAAGAAAAAAAATGGAACCTAAAAAACATACAACTTAAAAAAAAAAAAAAAAAGGTTGTGTCAAGAAATGTTGTTTTTAACCTATTCTTGGATAGGTCTGAATCTGAAATGCTTGGCTCATGTTTAGTCCTGGCTCTGGGACCAGCTCTGTTCCAGTCAAATAAATAACACAAAATACTGGACCAAACACATTACAGAGAGACCGCCAAACTGGCTGCATAATACAAGACAAAAAGACAAAAAGACAGATCATTAAACATAATCTATAATTGTAGTTTTACTTAAAGTAGTGCTTCCTGGTTTGTGACTTCCTGTTACTTACAAGGGCAAAAAAGATAATTCTGAATCTGAGTACTGTGTGTATTTGTTTATTTTGTTCAAACGTATTTACAAAAGAAAAAAAGATACAAACCACAATACACAGTTTGAATTGGATGAAACAGTTGCTTATTTGTTTCCAACCGCTCCCACTGAAACAACACAAAAAACACACGCATGCACGCACACACACAGTTTAATCTCATGCTCACCACCAGAAGGTAGTTTTATCACAGCCACAGATACATTTCAACAAGAACAAGAATTGACTTTATGGATGATCCTTTCCTCAATCTAAACATTCAGTGAGTTGATGAAATGAAATGTTGTTTGTGTTGTTTGTGTTGTTGTGCTGACGTCCTGCTTTGTGTTTTGGTTTCAGATCGCAGACGTGCAGGTGCAGGTCTCCCAGAACACAGAGGCTCTTCAAGGCGCACAGATGGAGAAGAGCGATCTGACCCGACAGATTCAGACGCTGGAGATCGAACTGGCATCGCAACAGAGTCTGGTAAGAACAAAACAAGAGGTGTCTTGTCGCCCCCTAGTGGACATCCAACTTTAATGAGAGGCTGTGCAAGTATGGCATTGTTTAAAAGCTAATAAATAAAATTAAAACAACCACGACCCATAGATCCTAGAAGGAGTGGACTAACCGAGCAGGCTCCATCGCCGGGAATCTGGAGCCAAATTTGTGGGTAGCAACAACCTAGCAACCAAAGGACCAATCAGGGCCAGCGCTGGTCTGTTCCCGCTCTCACCACTCGCCAGCCAAAGCCAAATTTGTGGACAGAAGGCACTTGATTGGATTTATTTTGATATTGTCTTTGTAAATCCAGAGTGCTGTAATTAAGAGGCGTTTACTTTTGCATGGAGTCAAAGCACTTTCTCCATGAGCACTTCCCTATAAGACTTCATAGAGCTAGGGGCGTATTGTAGTGTAACGCTTGTGTAATAATAATGATGATAATAATAATACACTTTTTGGATGCTTAAAGACGCTTTACAAAACATTAAAAAAAAACATTGAATAACAAAATGAAGGAAAGGCAAGGGGACGCATGTGGGTTTTTGAGAAGTGATTTAAAGTTTTTTTGTGAGTCGGAGTAACTTGTGGTCTTCATCGTGTGCAGAAAGCGTCTCTAGAGGACACGCTGCGGAACACGGAGATGAGGAACAACATGGAGATGGAGAAGTACAACACCCTCTTGATGCGTCTGGAGGAGGAACTCACGCAGCTGCGAGCAAACATCCAGCAGCAGACGCAGGAGTATCAGGCCCTGCTCAACATCAAGGTCAAACTGGAGGCCGAGATTGCCACGTACAAGAACCTGCTGGACGGAGGGGACTTCAAGTGAGTCTGCTACAACTTCCTCTGAGGCTACGAACTACTGCTGATTCTACTACTACTACTTCTATTGCTACAACTACTACTACTACCACTGCTACTACTCCTACTACTACTACAGTATAGTAGTACTTTTTCACTTATCTTGTGTTGTGTGCTCCTCATTCAAATTTCCCCATGTTTCCGTGGCGACGTCAAACATTCCCCATTCTGTGTCTATGGGAAAATTGTTAAATCTCTGAAATATACACAAACATCAAACCAGCCTTGGCCGTTTCACTAATTTGACATCCCACTGTGGGATGAATAAAGAATCTCTTCATCTTAATTACTACTTCTGCTGCTGCTGCTGCGTCTACTGAAACTTTCATTAAGCATAAGAGTACAGCGTTTGTAAAAAAAGAATAAAAAAAACCTCACTATACATGCCTTATGATGTGTTCAAAGGCGTCCCGTGACTTTTTCTGCCCTCAAACTTTGAAACAGTAACTCTAAATGAGATTACATGCATTACAGTTCACTTTTTAATCATGCATCTTGTTACTTTTGAGTTTTTGATTGTGAAACGTCTTTCTTTTCTAACCCAAAAGTTTCCTCTGTGACCCTAACCCACTGACTAACTTCAAAAGTACAGACAGTGTGTAACGTGATTGTTCTCTTCATCAGGTAAATCATGTTGTTTTGTGCAGACTGCAGGACGCTCTGGAGGAACTGGCTGCTTCCAGCTGAAAACACCAAAACCGACGACAAAATGCAGCACTAAAACTTCCACAAGAATAAACCACTTTAACCAGTGTCGTGTGTCGTTTCAGCTTTTTGTTAGAATCAAACCAGAACAAGTGAATACAGAGAATACAGCGTTATCCTGCCTCTGAGCCACAAGATTATAGTTCTCGGCCAGATGTGTCATCCTGTATGAATCAGCAGCAGACACTGTTGGAAATCAGACTCAGACATACTGGGATCCTGTGCATCCAGCTTGGTTGTTTATTCACAAAAATGGTGGTTGATTCAGACAGAGCAAAAGTCAAGACATGGTTTTATAGTCACTGTTACGTCACACATCGAAAGACATACGTGTCACACAGAGACACATCATAGAGCACATCATAGTCAAAACATCAGAGTCCTTGTATAGTCTTGCACGTAGGCCAAATCGCTATCTAATCTTAACGACACTAATATCATTTAGATCTTGTCGCAAATCTCCTATATGAGAACTACTTAAATCTCGATATATAAATATTTTAAAGACTTTAAGCACCCAAACGTGGCCTCATTTGGCTCGTGAATTGGTCAACTCTTTTTTTAAGTTGTATTTTCCCGAGCTTGGTCGTACCATTACATTTTGTACTGAGGGGAAATGATAATTGAGCGGAGTGTACAGATGGCTAAGGCCAGGCTATTTTTTCCCTGGTTGTGACACCTGTATGTGAAAGCCAGATTCAGTCAGTATTCTGAAGCTAAGCAGGATAGGGCCTGGTTATCAATGTGATGGGAGACTTCTGGGAACACCAGGTGGAACAGAGGGGTAGGTGTAAAGTGCCAAACTGTTATTGTGTCCTTAGGCAAGACACTTCACCCATATCGTCTCGAATGTGTGAATGGTTGCTGGTGGTCAGAGGGGCTGATAGTACAGACTGGTTATGTCTCTGCAGTTACCCTTGGGCATCTGTGGCTACAGTAGAAGTTTATCACCACTGTGTATGGAATGAAAGAATTTGGACTTATAATATAATAATTATTATTATTAGTCTTATTATTATTGAAATATAACAATTAAAGACCATTTTTGTATTGGCGAACTCAATGATTTTGTAAAATCCTCTAAGATAACAACTGTTGTGATTTAGGCCTATACAAGAATACATTTAATTAAAATTTGTGGTAGCCTTGCTATCCATGGGTTTCAGAATGAGGACAAATGTGTTCAACAATGTACCCACATTGTTGAACCGTTGTTCAGGCAACAGTAGCTCAGTTGGTAGAGCATTGGCCTTTGAACCAGAGGGTCGTGGGTTTGAGCCTGACTTTCACCATTGACTCCCACTTTCTGCTGTCGTTGTGTCCTTGGCAAGACACTTAACCTCTGGGGACACCAGCCACAGTGGGGCGGCTGTAAAGTGGCAAAAGTGCCAAACTGCTGTTGTGTCCTTAGGCAAGACACTTCACCCCCATTACCTCTGTTGTGTGTGAGTGGTTGGTGGTGGTCGGAAGGGCCGATGGTGCATACTGGTTGAGTCGTATCTGTCAGTGTGCCCCAGGGCAGCTGTGGCTACAGTAGTAGTTTATCACCACTGTGTATCTTTGAGTGTCCAAAAGAGCGCTATATAAAACCGATGCATTATTATTATTGTGTATAGTGTGACACGAAACAGGAAGAGGAAACTCATGAACAGAATTTAAGTCTGGCTTTAAAAAAAATATATTCTCATCTCATGCTTCAAAATATTGTATCTGTGAAATGTAATAAACATCACCATCTGCTGGAAGTGTAATGCCATGAACTTGTTCAATCAGGTGGTAATTATGATTCTGATATTGACTGTCAGAATCAGGACAGGAGTAAAATGTAAACTTGTTATTACCATCCATCCATCCATCCATTTTCTTTCCCTTAATCCATTTCTGGGTCAGGGGGGTGACAGTCAGAGCTGCACCCAGTACACAGAGCACCAGCCCCTCACTGATCCTCCTGCAGGTGGTGAGTCCACAGGAGCTGAGATCTTTCAGTGGGAGCTTCAGGCAAAGTGGGGTTAAGTGTCTTGCTCAAGGACACAACGACAGCAGACATCAGTGGGAGTCGTGAAGTAGGTCTTACGGTGGGATCGAACCCACGACCTTCTGGCTCTAAGGCCAATGCTCTACCAACTGAGCTACTGTCGCCCCTGCTCTATTGTCACCCATTCAAATATATGGTCAACTGCCATTGTCATATTCTCAACTAATTTTACATTGAAATCCTTATGCACATATAGAGCAACTCCACCACCTAATTTGTGGTTTCTGACACTACAGCTTCTCAAAGCTTGTTATTACCAATTTGTCAAATTCAATACGTTAAATTACATGTAAAGGAAAAAAATCAAGTTTGCGATAATTGTATTTTGCAAAACAGGTTGGAAAATGTATTTATTTAGTTTTCAATCAACAGCAATGTTGCATAACGTAAATTCGTTAGGTCTTTCAACCATGGACTTTATTCTGTATATTTTTCATACATGTGATAAAAAGGCTTGTAAGTCACTATTTGACTCTTTGTGCTCAGAGCTGATTGGCTGAGTGAGGGTGGTCATCTCTCTTTTTTCCTTTTCTCTCTGAAAAAGATGATCTAAATAGGCCAAAGATACATGCATTTCGAAACAAGTCATATACCGAACTGTAGTAAGAGCCAGGAACTAGTTATATGGATTTTTATTAAACAATATGTGTGGGTTTGAAGTTGGGTAACCCAGCTTTAAATATGTTCACTGAACGATATCTAATTGGAACACTTTGTTTTGGTTTGAGTTTGACCTCATTCCTCTGCAAAGACCAGTGTGTTTTAGTTACTCCCTGTCTTGTATTTCTTGAACCACTGCGACCTCATCGATGCATTTGTGTCTCTGTCATTTCTTTAAGGACTGATTCTGCACCTAGGCAACTTTGTCATTTTTAAATACTTAGTTGCTTTAGTGTCTAAAGCTTCTCAAACCTTTATACACTACAGCTTTGAGAAGCTGTAGTGTCAGAAACCACAAATTAGGTGGTGGAGTTGCTCTATATGTGCATAAGGATTTCAATGTAAAATTAGTTGAGAATATGACAATGGCAGTTGACCATATATTTGAATGGGTGACAATAGAGATAATTCTTGAAAAAAAAAAAATATACTAGTCTCCTGTATCTACCGAGCACCGGGTGCAGATACTGACGTCTTTATTGAACATATTGAAAAGACATTTACTAATAGCCACCAGAAAGATATTTTTGTTTGTGGGGATTTTAATATTGATCTATTGAAAGCTAAATCGTATAAACCCACTGAAAAATTTGTGGACACAATGTACAGCTTGTCACTTTTCCCCTTAATTACACGGCCCACAAGGATACAGTGCCTTGCGAAAGTATTCGGCCCCCTTGAACCTTTCAACATTTCGCCATATTTCAGTAAGGTAAAGGGGCCGAATAATATTGCACGCCCCACTTTTCAGTTTTTTATTTTTTTTTAAAGTTTAAATTATCCAATACATTTCGTTCCACTTCACGATTGTGTCCCACTTGTTGTTGATTGATGACAAAAAATTAAAATTTTATATCTTTATGTTTGAAGACTGAAATGTGGCAAAATGTTGAAAGGTTCGAGGGGGCCGAATACTTTCGCAAGGCACTGTAAATGCACACGGTGCTACATTGAGCGACAATATCTTCACAAACGTTCTAAACAATATGACAAGTGGAATACTAATTAACGACATTAGTGACCACTTGCCAGTTTTAGCACAATTCGATATACAACAAAAAAGTAACAAAAACAAAAGTAATACTATGGTAAAGAATGTAAGATTAACATCTGACCGTTCGATAAACGCTTTAAATCAGAGCTTGTCTGATCAAGATTGGAATAATGTCCTCGGAGAACAAGATGTTAATACTGCATATGCAAATTTTGTTAACACAATCAAACAGCTTTATGATCAACATTGTCCCTTTGTAACGCGCAAATATACACAAACAAATAAATGTGTCCCATGGATGACGAGGGGGTTATTGAACGCATGTAAAAAGAAAAACTCCCTATATAAAATATTTATGAGCAAGAAAACATTGGAAACTGAAACTAAATATAAAAAATATAAGAACAAACTCACAAGTATAATAAAGAAATGTAAAAGAAGGTACTATAGAAATATGATTGAGGCTAATAAAAACACCATGAAAGGATTATGGAAAGTCTTAAACCAAGCAATCTCAAAGAACTCAAAAACTGCAAGTTACCCAGATTACATGATTAAAAATGATGAGAAAATTACAGAAGGGAAGAACATAGTCAATGCGTTCAATGATTATTTTTTCAACATCGGGCCTCACCTGGCATCTAAAATAGCTAAAACAAACAATGACGCTACTAAATATAAAAATATAAATACACACTCCTTTTTTCTCAAAGCTACAAATGAAAATGAAGTCATTAAAATAGTCAAAGCTTTCAAGAATAAAAAATCTACTGATTGGAACGATTTTGACATGACCATGATTAAAAAAGTAATACAAAATATATCAATGCCTTTGACACATATAAGTAATCTTTCCTTCTCAACTGGTGAATTCCCCAACCACATGAAGATGCCAAGGTCGTTCCAATCTATAAAAGTGGGGATAATCATCTGTTCACAAACTACAGACCCATCTCTATACTTCCTTAATTATCCAAGATTTTGGAAAAACTTTTTGCTGCTCGTCTGGACAGCTTCATAAACAAATATAATTTACTCAGTGACTGTCAATATGAAATAACAGGTCAACAGCACACGCCTTAATCAATCTAACCGAAGAAGTCACTAACCATATTGACAATAAACTGTATTCTTTGGGTATATTCATAGACCTCCAGAAAGCTTTTGACACTATAGATCATAAAATACTCTTAAATAAACTACAAAATAATGGGATTAGAGGGATTTCTAACAATTGGTTGAAGTCATATTTGACCGAAAGAAAACAGTATGTACAAATTGAAGAACATGTATCAGGTTGGAGGAACATAACATGTGGAGTCCCCCAAGGGTCGATATTAGGACCTCAATTGTTTTTGTTGTACATTAATGATCTGTGTGAAGTTTCAACAAAGTTAAAATTTATATTGTTTGCTGATGACACAACAATACTATGCTCCAGCAAAGATCTTCAGCTGCTCATATCAGAGGTCACAACAGAATTACATAAACTCAAAGAGTGGTTTAATAGGAACAAACTATCGCTGAACATATTGAAAACAAAAATGATCTTATTTGGTAAACGGAATAGTAAAGTTCAAATTAAAATCAACATTGAAAACCCTCAAATAGAACAAGTATAGGAATATACATTTCTGGGTGTGATCTTTAATCATGAGGTTAGCTGGAGACCACATATAGACAATATACGTCGGAAAGTGCCGAAAAATGTGGCCATAATGGGCAAGTGTAGATTTTTTCTGGACCAAAAGTCTCTCTTCACCCTGTACTGTTCCTTAATCCTACCGTACATGCACTATTGTTCGGAGGTCTGGGGAAATACCTACAATAGTCATTTACTGGCTTTATATAGGCTCCAAAAGAAGGCCATTAGAATAGTGCACAATGTTGGGTATAGAGACCATACAAATATACGGTTCCTAAAATCTAATACCATGAAACTTGATGACCTGATAAATCTTAATACTTTGTTACATATGTATAAAGCTGTAAATAATCAGCTCCCAAACAACATACAACAAATGTTTTGTAATAGAGAGGGAAGTTACAATCTAAGAGGTTCTCAAAATCTGAAAGTACAATGTAGTCATTCAACCCTTAAAAGTCTCTGTATCACTCGGAGAGGTGTAAATCAGTGGAATAAGTTAGAAGAACACTTAAAAGATGCAGCTAGTCTACTGCAATTTAAAAGACTGTATAAGAGAAATGTGTTTGAGAAATATGCAACAGACTTGTGACCCCTACCATTTCTACTAAATATTCTTGTATTTTTGTGCGTTTGCGAAGTACCACATCATTACTGGAATAATTAATGTCACCAACTCTAAAGTATTTTGATTTGTATTACAGGAACTTGAGCGAAAGTACCGAAGGAAAGACATGTGAAATTGCTGTCACTGCTTGCTTCCACTGGTAATTACTAAGTAAAATAGAATCAGGGCTGGCGAGAGATGGAGCTGTTGGAGGCACCCCCTTTCAATAGGTTCATAAACCTTGTCTTTTTAATGCAACACTCAGTACAGGGTACAAAACGGCTCACATCTACAATCTAGTCAGGGCAGCAGGGTGAGGGCTCGCTGATGGGGGGTTACTGCCCCTTACCAGCGGGCCACACTACACCCTGGCTTTTTAACGCACCTCAATGAATAAGGCAAACAATCATAATCCACTGACAAAAAATCACAACCAATACTAATGATAAATGCAGTGGAAATGGGAAGGACAGCAAGGTGAAGCATGATATTTTGGAAATGCAATTGCCATCGTCATTAAGGTGACGGTGATAATGGTATGCATGCATGTAGGTATGTATGTATACATGCATCTATATTATAAAACAATGAGAAATATTAACTTCAATTAAATAAATCAATAGAATGGTGACCTGTTGTTATAAGTAATGACCGAACTTGGTATTTTGTAAATGGTTAAACTTAAAATACTAATAATCGTTCGTACCTTTGTTATTATTACCCCTATTGGGGACCGCCTGCAGCTGGAAAATAAATGCAGTTGAATAGGGGGTAGGCACTTATAAGCTCTCTTGCTTCGGCCTACTCCTTTTGAGGTAGTTCCTTTTCTTTTTCAATCCTTATTATTATTTTTATTTTTCAAAAATGTTAATGTAAATAATTGTAATAATGTACAAAGATGTGAATGTAAAACACAAATGGAAACTGCTCAAATAAACTAAACTAAACTAAGCATTCCAAATGAAATAGACAAAATATAAGAACAATATGAAACTGTAGTGAGCTTTTGTGAATATGAATAACACAGCTTTGGTACCACGTCTGAACTAACATTTTGGCAAAAGCTTTGAACACCATCACACTTCTTACTAGACGTTTAAATGTGGAGTAACACCATTAATTATGGTGTAGCTCTAAGAGAGCATATTACAGGACTGTTTCCGAGGTCAGGACTACTTACTGTAAACTGAAGGACCTGGTCTCTTTACAAACTCTAATAGTTGTTCACAAAACAAAACACTCCCTACCGCAGGGACTGCATTCCTTTTTACTGTAAATAGTGACAAAAGCAGACGAAATAATGACTTTAGAAAACCATCTGATGTGAAACAATGAAATTTGCAAGGAAACAGTCTAAAATGTTCAAATATTCTAGTATAAACGGAAGATATTAAGTTTGTACATAAATACATACTGTATGTCCTCTTCAGTGCAGGGTGAGCAGGAGAGCAGGGAGTGTCAGGGGCAAGACAAATGTGGATTTCCACTAACTTTTTAGTCCCATCACCTTCTATCTCAGGGCATCAGGCTGTCAACCACAAAGACGAAGAAGAAGGTCCTTTATTCGTCCCACAATGGGGAAATTTCAGTTTGATGCATACACATACAGTGCCTTGCGAAAGTATTCGGCCCCCTTGAACCTTTCAACATTTCGCCACATTTCAGTCTTCAAACATAAAGATATACAATTTTAATTTTTTGTCATGAATCAACAAAGAGTGGGACACAATCGTGAAGTGGACCAAAATTTATTGGATGATTTAAACTTTTTTAACAAATAAAAAACTGAAAAGTGGGGCGTGCAATATTATTCGGCCCCTTTACTTTCAGTGCAGCAAACTCACTCCAGAAGTTCAGTGAGGATCTTTGAATGATCCAATGTTGTCCTAAATGACTGATGATGATAAATAGAATGCACCTGTGTGTAATCAAGTCTCCGTATAAATGCACCTGCTCTTTGATAGTCTCAGGGTTCTGTTTAAAGCGCAGAGAGAACCATGAAGACAAAGGAACACACCAGGCCGGTCCGAGATACTGTTGTGGAGAAGTTTAAAGCCGGATTTGGATACAAAAAGATTTCCTAAGCTTTAAACATCTCAAGGAGCACCGTGCAAGCAATTATATTGAAATGGAAGGAGTATCAGACCACTGCAAATCTACCAAGACCCGGCCGTCCCTCCAAACTTTCATCTCAAACAAGGAGAAGACTGATCAGAGATGCAGCCAAGAGGCCCATGATCACTCTGGATGAACTGCAGATAACTACAGCTGAGGTGGGAGAGTCTGTCCATAGGACAACAATCAGTCGTGCACTGCACAAATCTGGCCTTTATGGAAGAGTGGCAAGAAGAAAGCCATTTCTCAAAGATATCCAAAGTCTCGTTTAAAGTTTGCCACAAGCCACCTGGGAGACACACCAAACATGTGGAAGAAGGTGCTCTGGTCAGATGAAACCAAAATCAAACTTTTTGGCCACAATGCAAAACGATATGTTTGGCGTAAAAGCAAAACAGCTCATCACCCTGAGCACACCATCCCCACCTCAGCTGTAGTTATCTGCAGTGATTATTTATGATTTTAGTGCTTTCTTATTTTGTTCAGCACTTTGAGTTGCCTTGTGTATAAATTGTGCTATACAAATAAACTTGCCTTGCCTTGCCTTACCTTATTTTATAGGGTTATGAATAGGACAAAAACAGAAGGATGTAATCTATACATCTAACTCATAATGTTTCTGCACTTTGCAAGATCCTTAGCAGAGCCTATTAGCATAAGCTTTGAGAAGGTTTTGCTTGGGAAACTGGTGCAACCAGAAACTCTTTGTGGCTTACTGAAAAAACAAAAAAACAATAGATTCACTAAATTATTGTGTATAACCCATAGACTGTATAACCTTATTTTATAAGGTTAAACATAATTTATTATTTATAACCTTTTTTATTAGGTTATACATAATAACCTTACCTTAAACCTAAACCTTAATTAAAATAAGGTTTTGTATAACCTTATTTTAAAACGTTATACAAAAGTAAGATTATTTATAATAGATTATGTATAACCTTAGGACGTAATCTACACATCTCACTCGTAATCATTCTGCAGTTTGAAAGATCCTTAGCAGAACATATTAGCATACTGTATGCTCTGAGAAGGATTTGCTTGGGAAACTGTTGCAACCAGAAACTTTCTGTGGCTTACAGAAAAAACAAAAACAAACTATAAATGCACTTAATTATTATGTATCACCTTATAAAAAAGGTGATACATAACCTAAGGACAACATGTAATCTATACATCTGACTCGTAATCATTCTGCAGTTTTTGGGGTCCTTGAGCAGCCTTAGCAGAGCATATTAGCATGTGCTATGTGAAGGTTTGGCCTGGGAAACAGGTGCACATTTTCTGTGGCTTAATTGGGGAAAAAATAAAAAAATGAAAAACAAAGAATAATAAATAAATAAACAATTAAAAATGTGTTTTGTTTTTGTTCTTGGTTTTGAAGTCTGTTTGCCTCTTGTTGTATAAACGGGTTTTTGTATAAACAAAGCTTTACTTTTCCTTTGTATCTGCGTCAGCCATCATGTTGTAAACATTTTCCCGTAAACAGAAACTGGGAGGGGGCGCTCCGCGACCGCGCACAGACCGGTCGATGCGCGCTCCCGACACTGAGCTCTGACGCCTACATCCGGGTACTACAGCGAGCTCGCTCTCCAACATGGCGGCGTCAGGTGAGGTTTATGTGGCTCTCATTTCTCTGCACCTCGTAGCCAGATTTGAGCGGGATTTTCTGTGTTTCCTCTCCTTAAATTCACTTTGGAGCTCGCTAACCCCCCCGGTCACTGCCGGGTATTGTTGTCTCGGCTTTACGAAGCGGTTTTATCGGTTGTTTTGATCCGTAAAAGACGTATCCACCCGGGGACGAAGGCGAATGAACCAAGCTGCGACTTGCACAACACTTTAAAGATGCAATTTGCGGCTCCTTCATCCCTAATACTATTCTATACTTATTCAATTTACTGCCTGCTTATGTTCGTGTTACTAATTACCTTATTGCTTGACTGTACGTCAGGTCTGTGCATGTTTTTTAACTGCGCAAAGAGCTGGCACATTGCACATCCGTAGCAGTAGCATTCTCCATGAATGCGCTCAGGGCTGAACCGGTGTTATGGCGAGATATGTGTCCTGTCTAACTTGCCCACTGCTTCCACTCAGTACACGAGCGATTCAAATACGTTTTTTTGTATTTGTTAAACGAAAGTAATGCCCTAAATGCTGGATTTATTCAATTTAAACAGACTAGAGTAAATTTTAAGTAAAACTATTTATCTAGCTACTGACGTCATGTATACCATAACATCAACAAATATCCCAAGTCATTTTTCGGATACGTGCAATTATGAATATCTGAATATATGCTCGTTACAACACTTATCTTTTAGTGCAATGGTATTAATTTAAAAAGTGCCACACTGTATTGAACACATTGTTCCAAATGCACTGCCTACAACACGTGTTGAAGATTGTAAACAGGAATAGACTAGACACGTTCAAAAATGGAGATATGTTATTGCAGACGAACTCATGTGTAATTGCAGCGTGAATAGAATAATGTATAGAATGGAAGGTTTTTTGGTGCAAGTTCTATTATGTAGACCAAACCTAATTTAAAAGATTTTCACCGCAGGGTTTTCAGTATAAAAACTTTTTTTTTCCCAAGATCTAAACATTAGCATCTCGTTTCAGTTAGCGGTTGTCTTTTGTAGCAGATTTGTGTTGCTCATTTTCCAACCTGAAGCTAAGTGGACGCTGCTGCATTGTTGTGGCATGTGGCTAGTCCGCTACAGCGCCGCCCATCCTGTCTGAATAATCCGGGTGCACTTCAGTCCAGAGCGCGCACAGCCTCGCTCTCCCCACGTGTGCCGCTCTGGCTGTCGCTGCTGCTTCCCGATGCCCCTTTACCCTTCCCCCCGCGGACTGCAGCGCTCCCGGATAGGGGGGTTCTTTTTCAGGCCGAATCCACATCCCTGTGCTCCTGCAGAGTTCCCGGCGCAGTGGAAGCCGATTGCGCACTTCGGATCGGCTCTAGATTTGCGCGGTATTCTAGGCCTGAAAGCGAACCAGCTCATGAGCAGGGTTTAGACTGCGGACCCGTTGGAGTATGTGTGTAATGCAAACAGCCTTTGGAAAATATATGTACTAAAGTGTTTTTGATTCATAATGAAGCTTAGCCCCCTCCATCTTCAAAATAAGAACAAAAAAAGTACTAGGTGATCTTTATTCTTTTAACATGAATTAAACAATGCTCTTTGATCAAGAAGCTATGTTTTCTAGTGTATTTGGTTCAAACTATAGCGGCATAGATGTAATATTTTTGTTTATATTGTTACTTGCTACTTGTGTGGAGTAGTTCATATCACTTGATCAAACAGTTGTAACCACAAACTGCCAAAGCAATTACCCCCAGCAAAGGATACCCCTACTAGTAATTGATAGTAATGGATCAACAATCATCATCATCCAGTAATGCTGATGTTCTTAGCAGTGCATGGTTTTATGGCACATGGTATGTTGTTAACATATTTGATTAGATAAAACAATCGCCAATCATATAGTCAAACATATTTCAAGATGTAATTTTCCAGCAGATGCTACTTGATTGAATCCCACTTGGTTTAAAACATGCCTGGAGAACCTCCTCAAACTTCAATGAAGTTTATTCTATAAAGCACCATTCATGCTGTGCAAAGTGCTCATTTACAAACATAAAACATGGCGTAAAACAATAAAAACACAAATAGAAGTTTTCAGCCTGATGTTAAACAATGCCAGAGATGAGGCCTTCCTTACATCTTCAGGAAGACTGTTCCTGAGTCCAGGGGATATGCTGCCTCCCCATGTTCCTTTCTGTTCTTTTTCATGTTCTTTTTTGAAAGATAAAGATTAAACATGTATTTTTAGAGTTCATCTTAGTTAACGTTCATAAAAACACCATACTTGCTATTAAAATGTTGCGTTATTACAATTTGACTTCAGTCTCCTTCTCGTGTCACAGCTCACGCGGTCGGTGCAGTTACAGTCGGTAGTAAACAGTGACTTGGCTTTCGTCTGTTTGTGGAGCAGTGGAATGTCCTGACGCGTGGCTTTGCTTTTAAAGCGTCAGCTGCGCCGACCCCGGCTTCTCTCACACCAAAACAACAAAGACCTGGCACAAAAACAAATAGAGAAAACACAGTAAACCTTTATTTTGGAGCCACATCATTGGGATGACCAGAGGGAATATCGATATACTTATTAGAACTGATTCCATTTATTGAATTATTTGATTAAGGTTTTGTTACCTCAATTATTAAATTTAGTCTATTTTTTTATAATTCCGAAATAGATTATGGAACAGCCACAAAAAACATAATTGCACCACATTTATTCATTGCGCCTGAACTTAAGGCAGCATACAGAGTTTCCAATCCAGTTTATTTATATACGTTTGAACATTGAATGTTGCTTTGTCTAAACCATATACAAAACCCATTTAATCATACGTCATGCAGAGTAAAAGTACTGGGTTACTTTTACTGAAGTTATTTCAACAACATTCAGACGATGCCTATAATTGTGATGAAACAAACCTCAATGTGTTGCTTGAATAAATGGTTATTTTTTTAAGACAAAGAAAATAAGTTTTTGTTAGCCAAGTCTGTTCAGAAGACATGACATAATTTTTAGTACTCCAACGAAGCAGGATTTGGTACAGCCTCGCGTATGCATGGTAGTTTTCCAACAGTTGTAACAATTGCAATGTTGCATTTTGAATACACTACTTCTATTACATTATCAAAACAAACGCCTCAGCTACAACAAATAAACAGCAGCTTCTACTGCTAATATATTAATGTATTACAAGAAACAAAATAATATACTCTGTTATTATAATTTATTAACGATAATTATGCCCAAAAAATTCGCCATTGGTAAAATCCCCATCTCACAGGTCCTGACCAAGACTGTCAACATCTGGCCATTTGCTGCTCTCGTGGCTCTAGTGGCGTTATAAGAATGGAACAGTGTGTACCTAAACCTAGAGTCCTAAAAACAGTGTTCAAGCTTGAACAATATATTGAACACGGATATTTTAAAAATGTATACCACTCCTCTGTATAATTGCAAGCAAAGATGGAGGAAGCACATTGGCTATCCACCTTAGATTATCTAATATTATGTTTGGTCCGAAATGCTGGAATGATAAACACAGCTCAATATATTATGCAGGGAAACATAAGTCTCCCGGCAATGACTGGGCTGCTCTTATCCAGTTTTTATGGCTTTGGAGGAGTTGATAGTGAGGCCACCTAATTTGATATGGCGAGAATGGTTGAAATCTGTGTTTATCTTTTTATTGACCTTTTATTGATCTTAGTTTATTGACCTCCAGAATGTGCTTAACTCTATCATAAAATATTCGCCATGTGGACGTCTGGTTTGACCCATTGCCCTGTGTTCGGGGTCGGACACACAGACCACTCCCTCCCCGTGTTGACTGTCCTGTTGTAAAGATAGGTTCTGTTCTGGAGTGACCGGCCGTTTGTCTTATCCGTCTGACCAGTGACCACATCTGCATTACTCAACTACACTGCAGTTTGTCATTTTACACACAAAAGCAACCGCTGTGGTTTAGATCATGTGGCAATAATGGCCCTCAACATGCTGTCTTCATATTATCTTTGCATACTTGTAAGAAAGAGCCCTTTGAGTCACTATTTGACGCTTTGGGCTGATTGGCTAAGTGAGGGTGAGCCTCTCTTTTTCACGTATGTCTGAAAAAGCTGCTATAAAATACATGCATGTGAAATCTGGTGATAGGACCAGAGAGAGCCATGTGCCACAGCTTTAAATTCTTGCAGATTTGACTCTTTAGTCTCTGACTTACAATCAGTTGAAAACAAACTTCACTCATAATTTCTGTGCGTTTGTTTCCAGCTAAGAAGATTAAGAAGAAGGGGAAGACCCTGACCCTGACTGACTTCCTGGCCGAAGACACCGGCGGCAATGCTCCGGCTCCCAGTTACCCAACAAAGTCCACGAGCTGGGCCGATGAGACGGACGACCTGGACGGAGACGGTGAGTTCCACTGACAGGTTTCTTGTAATACCGGTAACAATGACAAATGTGTGTATGAGCCAAGACTATAGACTGTATATATTAACGAACAGAGTCACGCCTATCTCCGCCGTTCTAACTAATGGGCCAAAAAATGTGCTCTACAAGAGCAATCCAAAATGGCCGCGAGTGGTCCCACCCACAAGAAATTATCCATTATGTGACCAAGCTGTAATTTTAATCATATATGAACAATATTTTGTACATTGGACAAAAACAAAGCTCAAGTGATGCCCTTGGTGAACGCCTTCATAAAAAGGACTGTTAAACATTGAGTTGTTTGATTAAAAATACTAAACACATTTTAATGTAATAAAGCAGTAATTATAGAATTCTTAGTTGGTCCATGGTTAAGTCTGTGAAGGATTAATCGATTTACTTGTTATAGCCCATTGTGTTTTCAGGACTTGTATAAAAAATTATTAAAAATGTGTTACATTTTTGTTTTAGCCAAATTTGAGGGAGACATATTCAGAAAAATGATCATGTTTCAAAATAATTCCCTCATCAATAGAGAAACATTTTGATACACGTTTCCAGACTCCCCAATTGTGTCTGATGTGGCATTTAAATGGCATTAACAGATCTTGTATCTCACTTGTATCGCACCGATTCTGTGGAGACCTTGAGAAACTTTGCTGCTCTTTTTTCCTCACAGCAGCTTGCTTAAATTGACTTTCTACTTTCGAAGCTGCAGAATCTTTGGATAATTTTCAAAGTTTTACATTTTATGTTGCCAAATTCTAATGACAAGGGCGCAAAATGGGGCTTTGAATTTACTCTGGCCTCATGGTCTGACCTGAGCCTGTACTCTGCACAGCTCTCTGCATGCTTGAGTCTTTCCCACATGGGCTTCTGTCCATTATAAAAGGAATTATATTAATCTTTCTTTTACTCCTGGACTTTGGAGTCTGTCTTCCTCTCCTCGCTCTGTAGAGTCACACTGTATAGGCTGCACAGTATTGAAGACATAGACTTAAACATGCCAAGAGGAGGTTTTTATGACTCGTATTTGTCTATAATGACTGAAGAGAGAGATTGGTCATCTTTATGAAGATGTACTCTGGGGGCATCACAACAGCAGGAACTGTCCATAGATTGGACTATTATTGTCCAATTGTTATTCTTATTTGTTTGAATTTTCAGCAGAGGACTTTGTCCAAGTGGTGAAAAAATGACATATTATTGTTTTAATCTGGAGCATGTAGTTAAAATCCAGAAACGTACTACTTCATAATGTCAACATGACTGCTGCTGCCAGTTTCTGCCACCTGCTTCAGCCCCGCCCATGTTAAAATGTGATGTTTACAAACTTTGAAGGGGTCTATAGTAATTATTTAATTAAAACTTGTAGACCATAAGACAACAACTATAAACAGGATTACAGAGAAAATATGAGATATGAGATGACCGAGAAGTCTCATACTTTCATTCCTGCTCCTTCTCTTCCCCACATCTCTCACTGTGGGCCTCGTGTGCATGTGTTTAAACATCTCCTCGTCTGTTCCCTCAGTGTCCACCTCCTGGCACACGGAAGAGGACTCTTACCGCAATCCTCCCATCGACCGCTCCATTCTGCCCACGGCGCCTCGCTCAGCCCGAGAGCCCAACATCGACCGCTCGCGCCTGCCCCGCTCCCCACCCTACACCGCCTTCCTGGGGAACCTTCCCTATGACGTCTCCGAGGAGTCCATAAAGGACTTCTTCCACGGACTGGCTGTGAGTATCTGGACCCAGCGGACCAGCGTGTTTAGCACCAGTGTGTTTAGCAGAGGAAGACTACAACTACGCTGAAGTAATTGAAACTTCAGCGTTGTTCCAAAACTGGACTGATCACTCTGGTCCCAGAAACAAGTCAAATTGTTGTATTGAGATGGGGCTTTCAAGTAACTTGACTTGCAAGTCTTATTACTCACACTTTGGAACATGCAATAGTTAATTCTATATTATTTGATTATTCATCAAAATGAGGGAGTTTCCTTTGTGTGTCCAAATACACACAAGATGTTTTTTCCATGAGCTCTTAACTGCATCTGCTAGCCCTGCCTTAGTAGGGTCGGGGTTATGTGGTTACATGTACCACAAACTGATAAAAATGGTTTGATCCAAATTATACTGGGAGAGCATTCTGGTTTTCACTAATTCTTTGTAAATGTACTGTGTCGTTCTGGTCTTCAGACATGAACCAAACTGGTTATTACAGATTCTGAAACGGGGTTGTCAATATCCCCTTTGGGTGTTAGAAACTAACCGAGCTAAGGCAACCACACAGAGACAAAACGGCTCATAGTTTTTCAAGTTTCTTTTTGTGGCAGCAGAGGAGCAGTGAATCCTGCAGTAAACACACAAGTTAACTTCATATTCCAGGTCAGTACAGTACAGACTGTCCACAGAGCTGGTGCGGGGATGTCATTGAGTAGATAAAGTGGCTACTCAATGTACGGAGGCTCCAAACAGGTGTCAGGTTCACTGGCTTCATGTGGATGACGCCTAAATGAGACAAAACAACCAGAGATCAAGGGCGGGTCTTGATCTCTGGTTATTCTCTCATTGAGGTCTTGAATTTTGTTTTAACTTTTTTTTTCTTTCTCACAGATCAGCGCGGTGCGTCTTCCTCGCGAGCCTTCAAACCCTGAGCGACTGAAAGGTTTTGGTTATGCAGAGTTTGACGACGTTGAGTCACTAATGAGGGCGCTGACCCTCAACGAAGAGGTGACACATTTTTAACAGTGCTTTCAAGAACATGGAATGAAGATGTTGCTTTGTGATGGCCTTTTATAATAGTCCTGTAAAGATTTTCAATTTAAGTTGACCAAAAACTGCCCTGAGGAGGCTTAAATTACACATCATACTGTACTGTAAATGTTTAGTTATATTTAGTGGCCTTTTTTGTTTACATGGAGTCATTGTCGAGTTCCATGGTGTGGTTCTATAATTTGTTGCAATTTGCATATATATATATATACATACATGCAAAGAAAGAACTATTGAGTGTATGATTTTAGAATTTTTTAGTGTACGAACTTAAAGAGAAGAGGAGTAAATGCTAGAAATAAACAAAAATAATTGAGATTGAACAGGGCAGGGGAGATTCAAACTCCATCCATGATACAGACCATAACAATACCAACAGTAAGGCAAGGCAAGTTTATTTATATAGCACAATTCATACACAAGGCAATTCAAAGTGCTGAACAAAACAAAGCTATAAAATCATAAATAATCACAGAACATTAAAAAGAAAGCTAAAAATATATAATCCCTCAGTTGTATGCACAGCTAAACAGAACTGTCTTTAACCTGGTTTTAAACATTGTCAGAGAGGAGGCCTGTCTCACATCTTCAGTTGTGGGACAGGCACAGCTAAACAGTATATAATAAATATCATCACAATGACGATGACACCTTTCTACACACATGCAGACAACAAATCCGCACACACAATCATAAAATTCATCAAAAAAGCAGATCCCAGCCTACACCAGGTCCCATCCTCTCAATGGGAAGTGACACTAAAAAGTAACACGGTGTATCTTTTTCTTCATTAAATCATGAAGGGGCGAAATACAAAGATTTGTCATTATTCAAAACCTTGACACAAAGACAATAAACTGTTGTGTTGAGTTTGTACCATGTTTGTACCTGAATGTGTTTGTACAAGTGACTCTTCACAAATGTACATATTTACGTTTTGTCTACAGAATCTAGGAAACAGGAGAATTCGAGTTGATATCGCAGACCAATCAAATGACAAAGGTAAAGATATTTTCAATTGTTTTTTTACATTTAAACCCTGGAAGTATGTTTTTCAGATACCTGAAACACATTAGTTTTGAGCTTTTGACACTATTCGCTCATAAAAACTGAATCTTATTTCGCTTCTTAGCTATTAATATTTGTACAAATTGGTTAAAAGGTTTTTAGTCTGTAAAAACTTCATAGAAAAGTTTCATTTTCAAAGTTCTTTGTACTTCTGATGATTGTTCAGTCTCAAGCAAAGAGCACGTTTAAAGGCTGATAACAAAACATACTTACATAATGTTCTTAACTTTTGAATACTCTATATCAGGGATTAAAGAGTTCCGTCTAGGTGACGGATTTCCGTCAAATGAAATTGGTCTGGAAAAAAAAAAAAATATATATATATATAATGATAATAATACACACAATGAAATGATTGATTATAAAAATAATATATAGTAATACATATACGTGTGAATCTGTTTTTTTTATATATATATATATATATATATATATATATATATATATGTATAATAATAATTTGAATATAATTGTATTTATATGTATATAGAAATAATAAGTAATATAATCACGAGTGGGCCTTGAACGTGCCGTGGCCACATGAGCGCTCCGCAAATGAATCAAGGCAATGGGACGTAGCTGAGCTCACGCGCAAATGAAGACGCGATGAAGTTAGCATTGGTAACACGGAGGTGAAAGTTTCTGGAAACTGCACGGAGCTTTTGAAAAGGAGAAGAGGAGGAAAATTGAATCTCGAACGGAGCAATAACAGCAGCAGATCCGCGGACTGGTAAGCTGGGCGCGTAATAGAGGAAAGGTAATTAACGTTTACCAAACGCAATGCTATTTTACTTAACGGAATGTACAAAACGGACTTTGCTGCAACTGGGAATGGGGACAAACATGTCTTGGTGAGCTTTTGATATTGTCTTGTTTGCGATCTTCTTGCAAAACTCAGCGTGATGTAAAAGAGCCAATCAATGAGTCATGGTGCGAAAAGATGAAAGTGGCCGGTGCTTGTGCGTACTTTGCCATAAAAAATTGCATGAATGGGAGTAATGAGAAAAAAAGTTTTGATTCGCCACCAGCTCAAAACTGCGCACAAGGCAGCTGTTTGTGCACTTTCCCACACGTCATCTTTACCTGGTGCATCAGCAACAACTGACACTAGGCTTGCTATGGCAGACCGTGTCTGTGGCTTTATCGCAGAAAATAACGTTCAGAATATCACTACCGCTGGTAGATTTATTTAAATCATTTGCAGTTGATCGAAGTGCACTGTGCACTCAAACTTGATAGGGAAACCTTTTTCTTAAATATTGACGTGTCCACAAACAAATGTGGACAGAATTGTATCGTCCTTTTGCGATATTTTGACGAGGACAGAGCCAAAGTGTTGACGCTCCATATCGCCTCAAGTAAAGCTACTCTCACTAATATTCTGTCAAAAAGTTGACTCGTTGCTTGATCCACTTATATTTCATATCAAAATACACTGTATATCTTTGAAGAATTAATTTGAGCTGTATTCAATATACCAGTGTCTCCCAAAGTGGGTAGTGCAGGGGGGCCGCGGGAGGTCATGAAAAAAATAAAAAAATAATATAATTATTTAATGTTAAATTTATAATGTTTTGTTTGTAATATTAAAATATTTGTGTTAATTATTTGACTTGAATAATCCACTGTAATCATTTTTGTATTACAATGTTTGTAGCAGAGGCTATTTCCCCAAAATAAAATAACCAGAAGAGCCTATTCTTAATGTTGTCTTCTTGGTTATTATTTTGGGGGGCCACGCAGACCCGTCAGATTTTTAAGGGGGCCTCGGTGTTACTGAGTTTGGGAATGGCTGCAATATACAATCTATTATACAATAATATATTGTAATTAAAAATATAACTTGGTCTTGCATATTACTGTGATTTACATGTGATAAATTTCCATGCAAAAATTTTCAGTCAAATTTTTTTTTTTTGCTTTAACCCCTGCTCTATATTCAAGCCATTACAGCAGTTGTTTCATAATGTGAGTTGTATTTATTTTCTCCTGTGGGATTTCAGAGCGTGACAATGGCTCGATGGGCAGAGACAGAGGCGGCAGGATGTCTGACATGGGCCCAGACAAAACAGACACTGACTGGAGAGCTCGCCCTGCAGCCGACGTGGACGATGATCCGCCCAGGAGGGACGACTCTTTTGGTGAGACCACGACTTTTGCAAGGGTGTAATGGGAACTGAAGACCAGACCATAGAAGCTTCCATGTTACACTGACGTTGTATTTGAAGTGTTTTATAGCGTATGCTGAATGCGAAAGACACAAATTTGAACATAAACTAGCTGGTGCCTATTCCCTTGTATGGCCCTTTGTTCTGACAGGGTTAGCTTTACAACAAAACCTGTGCCATCCGTGTTGCTAATATGGTCGCTAAGACAAGCTGGAGTTTCCCTGAGTATGAAGGCATCCGTTTGGTCAGTCATTATGGCTCATATCTGGATTTACAAAGACAATATCAAAGTAAAATCCACAGGATCATAAAGAGCGTTAAAACACAGATTTGTCTTGTCAAAAATGGTGAGTGTGACTCTCAACGGTTACTGAACTAGAGGATTCTATGTAAGTCGATAGCAGCCAGAGCAAGTTAGAGCAAAACTTGTTCCTTGAGCACTTCCCACTTGGGCTTAATTGAGATACCGGCTAGCATTGTCCCTCTATATACCGTCCTCAAACAGACCCATCAGGTTGAGGTGGAGCTTTGCAAGTCCTGGGTGAACTCCCTGACCAGGCTCTGAAGGACAGCAGCGGATCAGCAGCCACGGCCTGTAGCGTGACTTCACTCTTTTGCTCTTGCGGCTTTCGGTTTCCTCTAAGCCTTTCCTCTGGTGGATATAAGTTTGTGGTTCTGGTCGTTTGTCTTAGCTGGTTCTGTACATCAGCTAAAAGCACCGTGTTGACTTTGTTGACTCACTGTGCTCTCTGCAGGATCTCGGGACCGTTTCGACAGAGACGGCCCTCGCCGAGATGGAGGGTTCGACAGGGGGGGGGACCGGTTTGGGGGAGGAGGCCGTGATCGCTATGACGACAGAGACCGGCGGGACCGCTATGATGACAGAGGAGGTCAGGCTGAAAGAGTTTATTTGTATTCACTTTTGTTTCACATATAGATACATGTATTATATATGTATATCGCTATATATAATATATATATTATATATAATTATGATTTGATATGGTTCAGTGTAAAATAAGGATTTTGCCCCTTATCTAATGCACCGCCCGTTTGAACAAAAATCAGTTTGTCATTTGTCACTATTACAATATACTCTTGAGTGACATAAGTAACCAACCCCCTTCAACATTTTGCCATGCAAAAACCACACATATATTTAGTTTTGACATTTCATATGAAAGACACACTCTAAAGAACACACATGAAGTACATAAACTATTATGTAAATAAAAAAACTGAAAAGTGTGTCCAAAGAACACGGGCAGAACACGATAATTTAGATGTATAAACCTACCAAGACATGGCCCTCCTAAATGTACTGGCCGAAAAAACATCTAAGCAACCATTTTAATGAGGTTTAACAGAGAAATTAACAATTACTTGATTCCAAGGATAGTTGATGGACTATGTAACAAGAGCGCTCCACTTTTTACTTTTACAAACGTCATTTGATTACAAGAAACTTGATCGGTCACTATCAGAATCTCAAAGCTCATTCCTGTGTACGGCTGCATCGCTACTGCCCTGTAAAAGTGCTGACTTGTTCCAGGTTATGATTCTCGCGGTGGAGGAGGTGGACGTCGGGCCTTCGGAAGCAGCTTCCGCCGTGATGACTACGACTCCCGCGGCAGCAGCGACCGCTACGGAGACCGCGACCGATACGGAGAAGACCGGTACGAGAGGCGGGAGGAGCGAGGTGAGGATGGAGGTTTGTGCTGCTGTTTTATTCGCATCTTTACACCACACGTCCTGGAACGCCACGCAGACCGATACTTCGCACCTGGGGGTGGATCTAAGGAACTTTTTCACATGAGAGACTCGGTAATCGACACACAATAGGACACAACGGTTATCATTTCGTCATGCTTCACTAAACGGACTGAGTGGCCACCAGTACATAAATGGCCCTGTTTTTACCACTTGCTACTGAGGCCAATGTCAAAGTCAATGAAACGTAAAGTTTCTTTGAATGTAGTTTTATTCTTATTAAATATTCACAGCTTTTTATCTGTCAGTGGTGCCATTTTTCCACACAGCAACCTTGTTTTGTTGGAAAACATGGTTTATATATATATATATATATATATATATACACATACACATACACATATACTTGTACATATACTTGTGAAAAACTTTTGATTGCGGGTGGTCCTGATGTTAACTTTTCTGTCTTTCTGTCTGAAAAAGCAGATTTGTTTATGCTTTTAAATGTTCATCTTGTCCAAGGAGTATTACAATGGGATTCTCAACTCTCCTTGTCCAATTAAAAATTGATCATCTGATTCTCAGTCTTCTCTAACGCCTTCCCTGCAGTATCAGCACAGGATAAACCCCTCTCTCCGTCACCAGGTCCTCAGCAGAGGCCCAAGCTGAACCTGAAGCCCCGCAGTGTCCCTAAAGAGGAGGAGGGCATCTCTCCCACCCCGGCCCCCGCTCCCTCTCGGTCCGCCTCCATTTTTGGGAATGCCAAACCAGTCGACACAGCGGCCAAAGACCGCGAGGTTGAGGAGCGACTAAAGAAGCAGGAGGAGAGACGACAAAGGCAGCTGGAGGAGGACAAAAGCCGCGCCCCGGACAGGAAGCTCAGAGACAGGTCTGTGGCATTTGGATTCATTCGACATTTATCTCTTCCAAAAAATCAATATCACTGAGAGGGAAGGATGCTTTCTAGTGATCAAGTTATAACGTTCATCTGTGCTATATAAACCTAAAACATTTTAAAATCAATGCGTATCACTGCAAAAAAATTTCGACGGCATTTAAACTTGTCTCGATGCTCCTTCTGTAAACTCTGCAGAGGATGAACCCTCCTTGATTGCACAGGTCCTGAAATTAAACTTGTGCTTGTCTAAGGAAACTACACACAGGGAGACGTAACTCAGACTGTCATGCAAGAATGACTCATGGAAGATTGAGACAGGAACATTTGGACAAAAGAGACTAGCAAACGTTTGTGCCAGAAGTTCCTGATTAGCCTTGATGAATATAAAAACAGCCGGCCTGTTTTTGATGCGTCTAGTTTAAACCGGGATCCAACCCTTATTTAAAGGGAAATATAAATCAAAGATGTAACTTCTCCCATGTGACAATCTGCTTCTTATTGATCTTGAATGTCAGCGTGTTGCAGACTGCTCCCCTGTTGAACATGTGTGTAACTCTATAACTCGTGTTGTGATCCAGGGACCCGAGCTGGCGCAGTGAAGAGTCCCACACTGAGAGATCTCGTACAGGGAGTGAATCCTCGCAGCCGGGCAGCACTTCTGGGAGAGGTGAGGGACACGCAACTAAGTGAACATTGTTCAGGTTCAAGACTGAACATTGCACCTGTTCTACACAAGTGTCAATTTTCCCCCTTTTTAACAACTGGCAGCCACAAGAAGCAACTTAATTTATATTGTAAAATGACAGATCCGTCTCTAACCTCTGATCCGTCCTCAGGATCGCGCTGCAAAGAGGAGCGCCCAGGGGAGAATGAGGTGTTTGGTCAGGAGCCAGAGCCCACCTCCCCCAGCTCCCCGCGGCCCCCCGCTGCAAAAGAGCCGCTCAAAGTGATGCCCGCTCCACCTCCTAAAGAGAACGTGTGGGCCAGGCGCAGCGCAGGGGCCAATGTCAGCCCCAGTGACGGAGAGAGAGGGCAGCCAGTGTCCCCCAGCGATAACGCCCCGTCCAAAATCAGGTGCGATACACGTACACTTACATAACCGTAATACTAACCATCTTTAATTCCTCAAAAGACCATTTTGTTCATGTTGATTCTACTGATTTGGAACAATGGTTAAAGTTGTGCTTGTGTTGTGTGCCTGCAGCTCTGGTGATGAGCGAGGATCTGGAAAAGGTAAGACGCGTGTGTGAACTTGTTCAGCCTTAAGCAGGGTGCCCAGGGGTCCAGGGTCAAATCCACGTGTAAAAAGTCCGCGTGAGGCGATGGGCTGGTTTAGGCGCTCTCTAACACCCAAGTCTTTCCCTTTTGGATCTCTGATCTCACGCTGGGTTCCCCGGTCTCAAACTTAAGGCTGTTCTGCAGATATACTGCTGCTGCTGCTGTAGCTGCTGTAGTGTAGTGGAGTGGAGTGGAGTGTAGCGACCTGAGGCTGCAGTGTGAAGTGTAGCTCTCTGGACTAAAGGTGCTCCCATCAGTCAACTATCTCTGCTCACGACACTCACACCTCACTGTATCTGTCCAGAGGTGGTGGCTTTAGCTGTGAATGATGCACAGGTCATCATGCAGGTTCAAACCTCCACTAAACATTTCTCCTTTACCCATTGGTGATCCGTGGTGGAAAAGTAGTCATCTGGATTAAGTTCTTACCATCCAGAAATCCTTTGGGCATAAACAAAGCTCATGTGCAAAAGTACCAATACCATGGCACATTTTGTCATGTTTACACCCACAAAGATTGTGTTTTGGATTTTGTGTTGTTTGATTTAACTTCATTTGTCCATTACGTTGTTGTGGTCCCCCCAAAGAGTCCTTGATAATATTGTTGTGGTTGTAAACATGACATCTTTCATATGTAAAGACTTCTGGATGTGTTTTCAAATCGTCTCTTGTGGGCAAACTCATTCCACAGCACTACTTTTTCCAACTCACTTTTGATAACAGCATTGTTCTGTCCTGACACTTTTATTTTCTAAAACAAGAGATTTATTGCTGCATTTTTACATTAAAGTGGAGCACCTTTCCTCCAGACCCTCCTCACTGGTCTGGTTTGTCTTGAAGCCCCTCCTCACTGGTCTGGTTTCTCTTTAAGATGAGAATAAGGCTGACGGCATGCGGCGGGGCGCCCCCCGAGCTCGAGGGGGCTCCACAGGGCCAGCGACCGGCAGAGGCAGAGGAGAGGGGCCCAAGGAGCGCAGAAAGGAAGCAGACAGGTCAGAACCTGAATGAATCATGCCAGAGGAATATGAATACAAGATTCATTAGAACAAACAGAACAGATACCAGGGAGATACTGAAGAGCGGAGAGAATCTAGTCACAAATTCAGGCCTTAAAAGTGCTGTGTTCATGAGAAATGTTTGTCTGAATAACTCTCACAGAAAGGAACCTCGAAGAGATCGAGACTCCAGACCCGCTCCAGAGCCAAAGAAATACGAAGAGTCCCCCACTCCCGTAAGTTTGATTTTTCAATGCTTTGCAGGAGAGAACTTGTGGCAAATGTTTATATTTTATATCAGTTTTTTGTACTATGCCGAGCTTTGGATATACAGTTGTGCTTGAAAGTACCTTTCTTGCAAAGAAGAATGTGCAGCCTTAAGGTTCATTCATACTCTCGCACCAGATGTATGTACGTTTATTGATCACCCGTATGTTTTTACGTTTTCTTGTAAGTTTACTCGCCAACACCCCTATCTTTCCTGTCATGACATACATGTGGACATTTGAAAAGCATGGGAGTACCCATGCACTGATGTTGGAGACCCTTGTACCACATAGGCTGAATAAGGTACACACCTGGAGAAACACCTCTGAAATGTGGCCAAAATGTGGGTGTAAACTTTCAAGCACAACTGTAGGCAAGTTCTTACAGTCACATGACGAGGCAGTGCGGGAGGCTGTACAGTGTGGTTTGGACCCGTGAGTAGATGCTATTTCAGGGGTGGATGAAATTAGATGGAAAGATTGAATTGCACTGTGGAATAGTCAGTCTGTGGTATCTGCTCATAGATGCAGACGCTTTCCCTCCATGGGCACTGAGTCATTGTGCACTGGGCATCAGTGCATGGAGCGGCTCTGCCCACACCCTCCCACAGAGGGGGGAGAGGGGGGAGGCTCTGCCCACGTACTTTCACACAGTCCCAACCGACACGGACCACAAGCAACAAAATCATGTCGGCAACTTAAATTTTAAGTTGCCGACAAAAAAAAAAGAACCTGACTTTCCTTTTTTAAAAGTGTTGCGAATTATAAATGTGGGAAAAAATGTCTGGCATATACCATCGGAAAGAAGCTTTAATTTTGGATCTGTTCTTTTTTGTGCATTATGTAACTTCTCTGTGTTGCATTTTCCAACGTTTATTTTGTCAACCAGTATTTTCCTTTAAATAATGTACCCCCTAGTCTGAACTGCAATGCCAGATATAGACCACAAACAATGAAGTTCATTTGTATTTGACTAATGATTAAGTAAACCAAATGAAAGTAGTTACCGGTTTGACTTTTGAAAAGGGTATTTAGAAAAGGCTATAAAAAACGTATACCTACCTTGCCAACTCTTCTGGTAGCGTATATGGATTCTCTTGAAGTTCAATTATTTGATTATTTTTCTGTCCTTTGTTGACCTAATTATTATAAAGCACAACTACACAAACAGTGAAGCCCTATTCATAATCCTGTTGAGCACAAAAATGGACAAAGTCTGTCTGTGTGAACTTAGTGCACATGCATGCTGTCATTTTAGGACATTTTATGAAGATTCTTGATTTCTTTTATCTATGCCTTATTCTAGTTTTACTTCTATAATTTGTTTGCACCAAGAGAAGAGTTTGTGACTTCCTGTTCCTCACAATGGCAAAAAAAGGAATTCGGATTGAAGACCAGGATTAGATTCAGTGGTACGAGGCGGGAACAGTCTGGTCTAGATCCAACCCGTGCGGCACAAGTTCCCGACCTCTTTTGTCAAGTTCCGACGCCTTCATGTCACACATCCATTTCTAACCTTATGTCTGTCCCTCCGCAGAAGTTCAGCTCAGCCAGTAAATACGCCGCTCTGCTAATGGACGGAGACCAAACGGAAGACGCGGAGGACGAGTAAGCCCTCTCCGCAACGAGAAGAATCGAAAAAACGAAATCACAGCAAACAAGATGGCCGACAAGCTTCAGGAACGTGGGACTGGAGACGCAGATAAAATTACAAATAAAAACAACACAAGGCTTTTCCCTCCTTCACCTCCTCTTGCACCGGACACTGACTGGACTGTTTTAATGCAACCGCAGTAGCTCTCATTGAAGAAAAACAAGGAAATGATGGAAGTAATTGTAATAAATAAAAATTAAAAACATGGGGGAATGAATTTGTACATGTGTGGATCCGAGACGGCAGTTTTCTTAAGGCATGATTTTAGGCATGAAGGGAGGGGGGGGGGAAATAACGCAATCGAATTTGAGCTTTCTGCCACATCATAAACTGTCTCTTCATCTTAAGAATATCTGGAGTTGTGTTTTCATTCATACGCACGTTTTGAGTAAGTCATTTCTGAGCATTTTTCTGCCAAAAAAACAATTTACAGCTAGTTTTATCACATCATATTCTTGAATCATCACAATCACATAAAATAACACAGAAAAGTTACATCTTTTCTCCATAGGGTTTTGAAAATTTACAAAACCATTTGAGTGAATTTTGTTGGCTATTTCTTGCAATATTACCAACATTTTGAGATTCAGGCAGTAAGATCTAAAGACAGAAACTAGATGCTGCTAGGCCCGTTTGTTCATGCTGATGTCTATGGACTTGGATAATTGAAATATGCTTTTGAATGAGGAATTGGACTTCTGATGCTGCAAATTTATTTTCCTGATTTTAACAAGTCCCCATAAGACCAGTAGAGGGTGGCAGAGCACTGTCATTGTTTTGCAGGCTTCAATTTCTATAATATGATTGAAGACAATAAGTTAGTGTAACCTGCCTTTAGTAAGTGTTTAGTTTAGCTTTTCATTCAATACTGGAACAAACTGGGTTACTCAAAAGTGTGTTTACAAGTTTAAGGCAATTTCAGATGATTTCTATGAAGGAACAGTCTATGCTTATGACATGGGAGACAAGCAGTTTTCACATATTTAGAGCCACAATATGTAAGGCAAACGCAATTACACAAAAGCTAAACAAGGGGTATTTTCTTGCTTTCTTGGTGTGAATTGGAACCAGTTGAGACGCACTGCTGTAGATTTTTTTTTTTTTTTATATATAGAGAGCGGCAAAGTTTCCTGTCTTCCAACGCTAACTTACCTACAAACTGGATATGAATTTCTGAAGCTATGTTACAACCATAAGAATGAATTTTTGTTGTTGAATAAAATCATTTCAGTGATAGTTTTTGTCTTTGAGGAGCGTCACTGCTGCAGCAGCTCATGAGAAGAATCTCTGGTGAAATGCTGTAAGTCAAATTTTGTTTTAAAGATGTAGAGGAACTCCATCTGATTCATCAGGAAAATACATACACTAAACTTAAGTCTCATATTCAAAGTCCCTCTTAATTTGGCTGAGTGGCAAATCCATCCGTTTCTTATAATCGTATGTTTATTGCAGACTTACAAACTGAACTGGTCTGTGAAGCCAATGGAGACAATCGTTTTTTCCTCTGCTGACTAATTTATTTTAATTATGAGGTTTTAAAAACCCATTTTTATAAAATAGTGGAACCTTAAAAACAAGCATGTTTCAAACAATAGCAATAAGTCTTGTGAAAGTAACTGATCACGCTGTCGATGTTTTAATGTTTTAATAGAAAACATAAAAGTGCCCTATAGTGAGTCACTATTTGATGATTTTCTGAAAACAACTGGAAAAAAGCATTGTACTTAAATAGCACTTTTCATAGATGCTTCTTTAGGTTACTCTGCACACAGTGGTGATAAACTAATGTAGAAAGGGCTGCCCTTGAACAGATATTATGTAAGCAAGGCAGCCAGTATGTGCCATTGGCCCCTTGGACTACCACCGATCAGTGATTCACGCTAGACTCATTCTAAGTAATTTGGATGAAGTGTCTTGCCTAAGGACACAACAACAGTTTGGCACATTACAGTCGCAGCTGCCCCACTGTGGCACCTGAGGTCTCCCATCACAATACTAACCAAGCCTAGCCCTGCTTAGCTTCAAAGATAATGTGTACTTTATTGATCTTACAATGGAAAAATTCACATTCTTAGGTCTGACGTGATCTGCTTTCACATGCAGGTGGCAACACACAAAGCTTACCAAAAAATGTGTCAGAAGCCAAAAATACAAACAGTTTCATGGTTAAAGTTACCTTTTTTTTCTCTGTATCTCAGCTTTAAAACAATATTGGCAGGAGGCAATGTCATGATATCAGCTTTAAGTTAAGCTATTAGTTATGTCAGCAAGTTTGCTTTCAATTCAATGTTTGTTTGTACAGCCCTAAGTCACAACAGCAGTCATCTTGGAGCAGAGTTGTCGATCCCTCATTAGTAGATCAGAGAATTAAACAATAAAAAAACAAATAACAAACACATAGCTACCATTGGTTCATATGGGGAGTTATGACCACTGTCCAGAAATATTTTTAAATGTTACTCGAGTGATTTACCAGCCGCGGTTCATGGAGTATCTCTAATTGGTCTCTGCCTCTTATGGACCAGAACCAATGTGTTTTTTTATTTTATTTCTTGTGTTTGACCCGTTTGATTCTCCGATCGGTGTTGTTGGCAAATTCAATGGTTTTTTAAAGTCCTCTGAGGAAACTACTGTTGTGATTTAAGGCTATACAAGAATAAATTGAATTGAATTTAGTAAACAAAAAAGTTAGGTATCCCAGCTTTAATGACACTAATGATGTTACAGCTGGGTCTTCCTCTGCAGTTGGCGTCTCTCCTGGTGGTCCTCCCGTGGCTTCAGAGCGGCCCCCTGCAGAGTGCCCTGTCTCCTGAGGGACAGCTGCTCCCAGACACAGGTCACTCACACACAGACCACAGAGAAGCCATGTTTGTTCTGCTGTCTTCATTAATGACTCGTTTTGTGTCCGCTGAAATATCTGTCATCGTTTTTTTGCCATAAGGTTGTGATCATGAGACATCACAAAACTCCAAAAATGTTCTGTTCAATTTCAAATAATATTTTTTTTGTACAAAGGGTTAGCGTCAGAAGAGCACATAAAATTATACAGAGGGCCGCAAATGTCCCGTGGGCCTCAGTTCGAACATGCTATCCCCAACGTAACCAAAATTATAATAATCTTGTGTGGACAATATAATTATTCCGAGGTGAAAAGATATATTTTGTGCAATGAGTTTTTTTTGCCAATCCTGCATGTGAAAGCCAGATCTCGTCAGACCTCTGAAGCTAAGCAGGGAAAGGACCTGGTTAGTACTGTGATGGTAGACCAATGGGGCGGCTGGGTTAGGGTAAAATGCCAAACTGTGGTTGTATCCTTGTGTGTGTGTGTGTGTGTGTGTGTGAATATGATTTGTAGTGGCACATACTGGTTGTCTCCCTTCTGTCAATGTGCCCCAGGGCAGCTCTGGACACAGTAGTAATTTATCACCACTGTATGAGGTGAAAGAATAATGACATGTGAAGCGTCTTTGAGTGTCTTGAAAAGCGCTATTCAAAACCAATGCATTAATATGATTATTATCATTACGTTCACTGCAGTAAGAACTCTAAAATTAGATTTAGGGACCTGTGAGTTAGCATTCAATGGATGTTTTATTAAATATAGTATAGTATAGTTTACAATAACTATGTACATGTATAAATCCAGATATATGCTGTACATTAGTAATAGCTTAACAACACAAACTTTTGAAAACAACTTCATTTTGGATTTGAGTTCTTTATTTGATAAATATTGGGCGGCACGGGTTGCAGTGGGTAAGTTTCCTCCGGGTTCTCCGGTTTCCCCTATGACTAAAAACATGTACAGTAGTTCAGGGTAGATAGATAGATAAATAGATATATACTTTATTGATCCTGGGCGACTGTAGCTCAGTTGGTAGAGCATTGGCCTTTGAGCCTGAAGGTCGTGGGATCTAGCCCACCATAAGACCTACTTCACTACTCCCACTGATGTCTGCTGTCGTTGTGTCCCTGAGCAAGATACTTAACCCCACTTTGCCCCGAAGCCCCCACTGAATGATCTCAGCTCCTGTGGACTCACCACCTGCAGGAGGATCAGTGAGGGGCTGGTGCTGTGTGTACTTGGTGCAGCTCTGACTGCCGCCCCCCGACCCAGAAATGGATGGATGGATGGACTTTATTGATTCCCATTGGAGAAAATCAGGTGTCAGCAGCAAAAGTCTCATCCAGGTCTGTTGTACAGTCTAACAGCCGAAGGAACAAAGGATCTCTTGAAATGTTCCGTTCGGCAGCGCAGTGATAGAAGCCTGTTGCTTCGATTACTCGTCTGAGCGGCCATAGTGTCATGTAGAGGGTGTCTGGAGTGTGCGGTTGTGACTGTGATTGTGGGACGACGGATGGAAATCTAGAGAGGTGTGTTCTTTAACATGCACTGTCCCAACCAAATTAACTATAAAAATAAACGTACGTACGTCTCCGTAATTGGAGATGATATTCAAGATGACTTTGGAAAAACACTATATTTCAACAATTATTTGACACAAAACACAATAATTGAATGAATTAACATGACTCAAAATATGCAGAACCTTGTATAGTGTTGCAAATGAACCAAACATACACGCACACACACACATATACACACACACACACACACACACACACACACACACACACTAAAACTAGTTTCTCTCTGTCTCAGTCAAAAATCCTTATCTTCCTTTGTCCCACTGCACCAGAGGATACAGGCCGCTTGGAGAAAGACCGTATTGTTGAACATTTCTTCTAATCACGGTTCAGGCACAAATCTGAACTTCTGCGTTCAAAATACAGTCATGTTTGTGTGAGGCCGACTCAGGACAGAGAGCAGCTTTGTCTGGACCCAGTGCGCCTGCACCGGTTCACAAGTCATGAGTTAGAAGAAAATCTAGGGCTGAAAATGAGTAAACCAGGACTAACTTATAGACTAAACCAGAAAGCAGCTTTGTCTGGCCCCTGTGCATTGAAACACATCCTCAGGTCGTGAGTTTAAGTGTCCAAACAAGGCTCCCATGAAAATATCAGCCTTTCTCTTAGCAATCAATTTTGCCAGAAACTGTGGTAAGCCTTGTATGACCTTTTCACTAATTGATCTAAAACGGCAATTGCATTGTGTGGTGAGCATAAATAAATATCTGTAACTCTGGCTAATGTGCTCAAGTCTCCCTTTGGAAGTGGCAGATTTTTGTATTTCAATGACAGCCATTGATGTTTCAAGTTTGCCTGTGGGTTAGGAGTTGGATGTAAAGGACTTGAGCAGGAGCTCAAAGTAGAGCCGCTGCTTCTCCACATCGAGAGGAGCCAGTTGAGGGGGCTTTGGATGTATCCTCATTGCCTCCCTGAGTAGGTCCCACTGGAAGGAGACCATGCGGAAGATCCAGGACGTCGGAGGGACTATGTCTCTCAGCTGGCCTGGGAACGCCTCAGGATTCTCCTGGATGAGCTGAAGGAAGTGTGCATAGAGAGGGAAGTCTGGGCGTCTCAGACTGATCCGGCAACGGATAAAGCGGAAGAAAATGGATGGATGAATGTAATTTATTAGCTTTATTTTTATTAGTAAATTCTCAGTCCTGGACCATCTCTTGAGGTTGTGAGTTAAATATGACAACCCTGGGATGATTTTACAAATAAAATGTTATGAAATCAGCTATGAACTATGATGATAATTATTATGCATCACTTTTATAGCACTCAACAACGCTTCACAAATTATTATTCTTTCACCCCATACACGGTGGTGATAAAGTACTACAGTAGCCACAGCTGCCCTGGGGCGCACTGACAGAAGCGAGGCAATCAGTATGTGCCATCGGCCCCTCTGCCCACCGCTAACCATGCACACACACACACCATTCAAGGCAATGTGGGTGACATGTGTTGCCTCAGGACATATTGACAGTTTGGCTCTTCAAAGACACAGCTGCCCCACTGTGGCACCTGATGTTCCCATCCCAGTACTAACCAGGCCCTGCCCTGCTTAGCTTCAGAGGTCTGATGGCGGGATCTGGCTTTCACATTCAGGTATGGCCACAGGTGCACAGATGCAGGTATGGCTATAGATACACAAACGCATTGAGAAAACTCCCCACGACTTCTTCCCACGTCTAAAAATGTCCAAAGAAACTCTATCCATGTTTCCCGTCTGCAGGGAGATGACATAGGACAGAAACTCGTGCTGAGGAGAGGAAAGAGAGAGGAGAGAGAGAGAGAGGAGAGAGAGAGAGAGAGAGGAGAGAGAGAGAGAGAGGAGAGAGAGAGAGAGGATCCAGGGAAAGGGGTGGGACGTGCTTTGCTCCGGCCCCAAACAGCTGCCTGCACTGCCCCTGTGCTCAGAGCAGTGTGGGGGGGGTAGGGGTGGGGGGGCTGGAGCTCCTGACGCTGGGGTAAGAGTGACGGAGACGAGGCCACATGACACCCGGACCGGCCACAGAGGAGCCAGCAAGTCCCACAAGAGGAGAGGCCATGGACGGACGCGCTGTGAGTACTGCATAATTTTAACTTTATTTACTGGTCACAGGAGAAACTTGTGATCAAAAACTGGAACGTTGTCTGGAGCGTTGCCTGGAACGTTTTGAATTCGAATCCACTCACGTGCACAGATTTATATGGAACTTTGTGACTTCAAAAGCTGTTTTCTCCAAACACATAGACCTCTCGCTGCGACATGTACAGTAGTAGCATCACTGTGAATGTTGCTCTTGACCCCTGCTGCTTTTTACATAGAGAAATCATATATTTTTAAAGGGGACTTATGTATATTTTGTTCCTAGGCGATAAGAAAGTTTTTAAAGCATAAGATTTGGTTCAACAAATGTGACAAATAAAGAATCTTTCTAATGTTTACTGTTCATGTTTTGGCTTTGACAGAGAAACTCTTTTGTTGCATCTGAGATAAGTTTAAATCAAATAAGTTTACTCTCCATCATGTAAATCGTGTTGGTGTCTTCACTAACTTTGTCATCTGAAAAGGTCTGAAAAGTCACTCAGTAAATGTATTGGTTTGTGTTTCTGTCCGTTATGAGCACCAGCACCAGGGCATTTACTGCACAGACAAAAAAATAAGACAAAATTAAAATAGTTTTGGAGTATGTCAAAACAAGATTTGACGAGCATATCTTTTTTGAGAGATGAGAAAAAATATTGTGACTGCTCTGCTTTGCTAATCCCACAGGCAAAGACTCTCACACAAGTCACACTGCATTTGATTGAAGACTTTTAGGATTTACTCGCAGTTAATCATCTATTATATGTTTTTTAAGTCCATGAGACAGAAAACCAAATGTGTCCTTGACTTTGAGGTAAAACTGTCTCAAACAAATGACATTTGAACTTTAAAGAATGTCACTCTTCTGTTTCTGCAGTCGTCGTCTCATTGAATTGGTTTTGAAAACACTGGAGAGAGGAGTGGAGATGGCACCCTGAGCCTGGTGGATCTGGGTCTGGGTCGTGTCCCTGAGTCTGGATCTGAGTCTGGATCTGAGTCTGGGTCTGAGTCTGGGTCTAGGTCTGGAGCTGGATCGTGGAGATGGGTTGTGTCCACAGCTCCGTGCGGATGCAGAAGCTCCAGGAGGACGGAGGAAGTCCCATCAAGAAGAGCCTCATCCAAGTTCAGTCTGAAGTTCACCCAGAGATCCTGGAGCTGACCGAGGTGAGGCTGGACCAGGACTTGACTGGGACAAGGACCAGGACCAGACCAGGACTGCGATATAAAAATGTGTTTTGAGATTATACAAAATTAATCAAATTCAGCCTTTTGTTCTTAAAGCTGGGGCACCTAACTTTCCAACCGCAATAAATGGCACTAGTAAAATCCATCTAACAACTGACATTAAAGCTGTGGTACTTAACTTAACTTATTTGTTCTAATAATCTTTCAAAAGTAACACGTTATGAACAAACCAGACCGCATGTTGTTTATCTGTCATTATAAACTTCTCTTCAGTATTTTACACTTTGGGCTTTTCTCTTTTCTGTCGGTAAAAGCGGATCTGAAGAAGTGACAGAAGCCAGTAAAACATGTGATGTAACCAAACTGTTTTGAGAGCGAGGAACGAGTTACATGGATATAGTGTGTATTATTGTTCTTTGAAAGCTAGGTACCCCAGCTTTAAGTACAAGGCCTAGTACTTTTGCCATGCTCTGGTGTAACTAATGGCTCTTTATTGGACGTGACCATATATGTACTTCCAGTTTACACTTCTTCTGTCTCGCATCACTTTAAAACTACTTTATTTTTGGGGGTTGTTGTGAAGTTTTTCTGCTCAATTAGAAAATAGTTTCTCAGCCGCAGCAGAGAAAGTGTCCGACGTTTCGCCCACGTCGCACTCGACTTATAAATAAATGATGAAGTGGAAGAATGTGAGGAATTATATTAGAAAATGACGTTTGTGTCTTTAAAGCCCTGTGTCTGAACCGGGACTGGGACGGGACACACAGACCACAGACGCACATGTGGTTCACAGCTACGCACAAGCGCACACACACACACACACAAACATATACACATGCAGACATATACACACACCTACTCTCACACACACACACACAGGCAATAGAGAGAAAAGGAAGTTAACGAGAGAGAAACAGTCTCAAAGTGTTTACGAGCTCAGACGTACACTTAATTACTTTACTTTACTACAAATTGTGCCATATAAATAATATAGTGATGTGTAAGTCCTTTTATAAACTTATCAAAAATGTGCAACTAGTTCTTCCTTATTTCCCCCCATAATCTCACACAAGCTGATCCCAAAGTTAGAAATTCTTATTTACTTTAATAGATAGATTAAAGCTGGGGTACCTAACTTTTTGCCACACTAATAATGCTTGTTATTTGTTCCAAGAAATAGTGAAATGTTGTGAACAACTTAGACCACAACATACTGTTTTGCACACTCAATGTCAGCCCTGTGAGTCACTGTTTGACGCTTTGGACTATGTATTTATAAATGTGAAACGTGATAACATACTGTTTTTGTTTGAACAGATACAGAGGAGTTTTATATATTTTTTATATATTTTTTATATTGAATCAAACTGTTGAGAGCGAGAAGCAAGTTACTTGGATTTCATTACATAGGTTTTGTTGTTTGAAAGTTAGGTACCTGAGCTTTAACATAAATGTATTGAAAATGTATCTATCAACTCTCCCTTCACACACACAGCAGTTGTATGTTGTATTCATAAATAAGGCTGCACACACAAATATCCACAAACATTAAAATAGAATACGTACATTGTTCAATTCATTCAAACTGAAGGGCCCCCAGAATAAGCGTTCTGCATAAAAACATGTATCTGACCTATTTGTTTATAAATCAACTAACTGACTATAGACTAATACACTACTGTCGAAATCTGTAACGTTGACAATACATCCAAAAGTCATATCCCAGATCGTTCCATAACTATATATACACATAGTGCTTATGAACAGAAACTACATTTAAGACATAACATAACTGTAATGCCGGAGGTCCTGTCTCCTTTAAACCTCCCATCAATAATTCACTGCAGTCTAAAAGCTCCTGGATCCTGCACAGTTTTAGTTTCGCTCTCAAAACAGAAGAGGCTGAAGGAGTCTGTGGCTTAGGCCTTTATTCACACATGGCAATCGTTTCAAAAAACCCCGGTGCTTTTGGGTCTTACTGAGGTTTTTATCAAGGCCTTTTTAAACAATTGCCACATGGAGAAAGGATTGTCATATTCTTATTAATCCCTTCAAAAGGCTCTTCTCAATTACGTCTAAGATGAGAAAGATTAGATTGGCCCCGTTCCTCGTGTGTGCTGCATATCTCCTATCTTGTGTTTAAAGCTGGCGTACCTAACTTTGAAATCACAAAAACAATGTAGAAAGTCTATGTAAATGGTTTCTCGCTCTCAAAATAGTTTGTTTTTTATCACACTGCAAAAAATTATGACAAATAAGTTAAAAAAGATTCTATAATTTGGCAAAATGTAGCTGAATTTGAGCACATTCTGACCATTTGATTCAAGCTATTAATACCTGATTTTTTTTTTTTTTTTTTTTTTGCCGTCCACTCGTTTTCACGTACATGACTTTTTTCCCTCTGTCACATTTTAAGATCAGCTTTTTCAGTGAGCCAATCAGCTGTGGTCGGATTTGTTCACAGAATGTTGCTTAAACAATACTCAGAGTACGGATACTCTGTACTCTCATTTGATTACGTTATTGTTTTGGTTTAGGAAGTGCATGTTTATGAAATCTTTCAATCCGTAGTCCCATAACCGCACTCACTCACCCTGAACTATTGTACATGTTTTTGGTGGTTGAGAAAACCGGAGCACCTGGAGGAAACCTACTCAGGCACATGGCTTGAAACCTTGTTGTTCTTAGCTTTACCCTGATGACACAACACTGGCTTCTGAAAGTTGTGGAAAGCACTTATAAACTCATCTTTGTAGTTATCAAACTATAACTAAGTAAGTCATTTTTATTTATGTTGCGCATTTTTACAGACCAAGGTCAAACAAAGCGCTTTACAATGTTATGAGTTCAGATATTTTTCCTTTTTTTCCAGATACAGTGATAACAGAAGCGAGACGCCGAACACACAACACCATCTATTCACTCACACACTCGTTACATCCATACCTATAGTACATGTTTTTAGTAGTAGAGGAAACCGGAGCACCTGGAGGAAACCGGAGCAGACATGAGGAGAACATGCAAACTCTAGACAGAAAGACTTGGCATCACGGCTCAGACAAACAGCAGCACGTGGGAAGAGATGTGTAAAAAGAAGTGCAAAAGAGAATAATTATACCGTAAACACACAATTTAATATTATTATTATTATTAAAGGATTCTGTAAGAAGCAATAAAGTTCATTATTTTTGAAGGAGCTGAGAAAGAGAAGCCAACACTATTTGGCTTCACCCCTCCCTGTGATAGATAAAAGCATTTACAATTCTTCGGGGCGACAGTAGCTAAGTTGGTAGAGTGTTGGTGTTTGGACCTTATGGTCGTGGGTTCGATCCCACCATGACCCTTGTCATCTGCTCCCAATGATGTCTGCTGTCGTTGTGTCCCTGGGCAAGACACTTAACCCCACTTTGCCTGAAGTCCCCGCTGAAAGATCAAGGCCGTATCTGTGATGAAGGAGCAGCCATCTTCCCGTGAACCCACCACCTGCAGGAGGATCAGCGAGGGACTGGTGCATTGTGAATTGGGTGACAACTCTGACCCTCCTGACCCAGAAATGGATAATAAAGGGATGAAAATGAATGAATGAACGTTTAGATCGTTTGGTGCAGTGATTTTTTGGCACCCCCTCTTCTGGTCATCTCCTTTTCGTCAGTCACACTGGATTGAAAAGTACTGAGTCATTTAAACAACGTGATTTCCCATTGAGATGAATGAGCAGACCTGCAGCCTGTCTGAGAAGGTAATTTTAGGATTACCTTACGTTACCAAAACATTGAAATCTAATATTAGTGTCGTACTACTGTGTTGTTGGATTATACTACAACAATTTGACTGAAAGTTACAAATTCTCCACCAAAAATTAGCATCTGCAGTGACCTCAGACTGGATCTAGGTGTTCTAGCCCTAAATATACATATTACTATATATATATACATATCTATAAATATTACTTTAAAAAAATATATTTTATGATCTTTGGTTTAATGCTGGACTGTTTTTCAACGTAAGGCCCCATAGAAAAATCTCTCTTTGCTTGTTTGTACAGGGTTTTATGGGATCCAGCTCCCTGTTTTATGGAACATTTTAAGGACTTTCAAAAGACGTAATATTTTGTTGTGAATGAGTTCATTTTTCGGTAATGTTTTGCCCGTGTTAGTGGTGTCCTGTTGAGGACTGAGGACATAGTAGTAGTTTGTAGATACAGTACAGTGTACAGTCGCAGCTGTGTTGTCAGGGATATTTTGGGAAATGAATCCAGAGTGGCTCCAGAGGATGATCCCAGGACCCTCTGTGATCCCGCTCCAGGCTCCAGAGGAAGTAGTGTGGGTTTCTGTCCAGTTAGAGCATGCCTGTGTGTGTAGTATGTGACTCTGTGTGTGTAGTATTTTTTTGTGGACTCAGGCTGTAGAACGAAAACTGAGGCTGTGGAAAGAGGACTGAGGCTGAAGATCCAGGACTCAGGCTGTAGGACGAAAACTGAGGCTGTGGAACGAGGACTGAGGCTGTGGAACGAGGACTGAGGCTGTGGAACGAGGACTGAGGCTGTGGAACGAGGACTGAGGCTGTGGAACGAGGACTGAGGCTGAAGATCCAGGACTCAGGCTGTAGGACGAAAACTGAGGCTGTGGAACGAGGACTCAGGCTGTAGGACGAGGACTGAGGCTGTGCAGTGCAGGACTATTACAAGAATAGTGCTGACGTTAGCTTTATGAAGTTAAAAAAATGGCTGGTTGCAAACAAGTCCAACATTGAGCATCGAAGAAGGCTAACAAGCTATTATCTGACACGTTGCTTTGGAGCTCAAAAGATGTGGATTATCCTGTGCACAAAAGAATGCATCTTTTCTGGTGTGAAAGTGTGTGTATGTGGTGTTTAGTGTGGCTGCAGCCATGACCACAGGCCTCTGTGGACCGGGCGGACCTCACTATGCACTTATATCTCACAAAACAAGAGCATATCTCTACAGTTCACGTCCAACT